TCAACACGGCAGGAACGCCGTCCCGCTGCGACCCGAAACATGCTGCTATAGAACTACCAAAGTACCAACGCAAGATGTTGCTCAAAGCAACACCAAAGAAGACAAACGACAACACCTAAGAAACAAAGGTCATACTATGAAGATCGCACTAATCATGATGAGTACCTTAAACCAACGTATAATGGCAGCATCAAATGTTCTATACTTCTAGAAGGAAGCGAAGCCGCCAACCTTCATCGCATTCGTAGCCCGGCCCAGCTGAGACCCGTGCTGCCGCAGCCGGGCCTTTCAGGATTCCCTGCCGGGTGTCCCAGAGCCGGAGCTGCAAATCCTCCGAGGCAGTATAGGGAGTGTGGGGGCCTAGGGGTTTAGGGTTTTAGGGTTTGGTGGTTTAGGGTTTAAGGGTTTAGGGTTTGGGGGTTTAGGGTTTGGGGGTTTAGGGTTTAAGGGTTTAGGGTTTAGGAAGTTGCCCTCTGGATTGGACTGGGACTCTCGGCTGTAGGCCGTTTTAAGGCACAGGCATCCGGTCTTGTATCTTGTGGGTTTTGGGCGAGGGCGAGGCGTGCCGAAGGGCAAGGCAAGGTGCTCCAGAAAATTAATGAGCATCATACAGGCATCCCTCATTTCCAGAGACCATCATATATGTAACATGAGACCTACTACAGCATGTACCGGTGAGCCTTCAAGTCTGACCCTCAAACAAGCAAGTCACGACGAGGAACCATTCCAGGGTATTCAGCTGACCCGCGAGGGGCCAACACAAATCCAATCCAAGTAAGGAATCCAGCCCGTACTTGGAGGATGAGGGTAACTATGGTTACATTATAATTACCTGAAGCCCCACTTATAACCTTACTTGCTCAGCCCCATGATCCTCCAAGTAGGGTTGCCCAAACCATAAACGTCAAGTTTTAGCCTGCACATTCCCCAAACCCCATTCCCAACCGCTCCTTAGCCTAGAAAAGATGTCCCAAGGTTCCCACACACTTAGCTCTGTATCCAAAGCGTACGTGATAAACTGTCTTATAGGACCTACGAGTATAACAGCAAGCATGCATTCCTCACTGCAATGACAATAGAAGCTAGTCAGAACCTTTCATATCGCAGTGATAGGGACGACGATGGCAGCATTAACAAGAAGAAGCAGGACAGAAATACGGTCGGGGTCTCAATAAATACCCGTACTGTTTTGAAGGTTCCTTATTATATTTATAGTATATGTAATGGGCCCCAAAACCCTTTCTAATTATTCAGGCCCTTATAGTGCAACAGAACAACGAAGGATACCGAAGGCCCACCTCAGAGGCTTGGACGGCGGCCCCCGCCGCACCGCCGGGCTGGGGAACCCGACGGATAGCTGTGACCTTCCCGCAAAGAAGATAATCTAGGGGCCTTAATAATTAGAATAGGGTTTGGGGGCCCAATATTACTAGAACTATAAGAAGGAACCCCCAAAATAGCAGAGGTAATTATTAAAGCCTCTATGGTAGAAGCTTTGGGGCCATGTTCGTGGCTTTGGGGTTTGGGGCTTTGGGGGGTTTAGGGTGTAAGGGTTTTGGGTTGGAGTTTGTACGGCTTGGCGTTTGGGTTCTGCGCATCTGGGACGTAGGGTTGGTTGAGGGTTGAGGTTTCGGAGTTTCTGCTTGCGGTGATGTCGGCTTTAGGGAAATTGGTCTGGAGTCTGTCTGGGGGTTTAGGGCTAGGGCTTTAGGCTTTCGGAAACTGAGGCTTGGGTTTGTCTGCTTTGTGGACTGGTCAGCGTGGTGGGAAACCTTCGCGTCTGAGATGCCACAGGCACGAACACCATGCGCCCTACAACTCTTGATCCGATTCTCTGAGCCAGAGGAGAGGCCTCCACAATGCGAGAAAGGTATGCTGGACAAGATCCGAGATTCCAGCCACATTTCGGAGGATCTTGTTCTTCTGCACAGATCTGGCATCAAGTAATCTTTCGATGACTTAAGATGGCTTGCCGTCGCACGAGACCACAGTGTGCGGGTCTGCTTGAGGAGATATTTGGAGCTGTGGGGATGGCTTCAATTTAAGTGTGCAGATGAGGCAGCTGCAAGGTGCCAACCTGAAACCTCCTACACTCCACCGGTAAGTATAGGAAGGGATACCAGTCAGGAACTCGCCCGGATAATGAAAGCCGCTGTTGCAACTGTCATCCAGACTCTGCTGCAGCAGCCAAGGGCCAAAGACAAGTGCAGCAGCGCAACGTATTTCACTGGATCTCAGCTCAAAAGGCGCAGGAACAGCGGAAACACATTGAAATCAAGAAACGGATCGGATTGGTGCTCGGTCGGCTCTGTCCTGTATGCTTTGACATCGCAGTTCACAGACACCTCCGAGAAAGAGGGATGCTAACTCTGAGACATGCCGAAGAACAATCCGGGTCTGCAAGTTGGGGATCGGGGATCTCATCAAACGCCATGCGAGAGCGGCAGTCCCCATTATAGTTATATATAGTATGTTATAGTAGTAGGGACGATGATATCGTCCCCACTATAGTGTTGGAGATTTCGGGTGTTAGTGCTTTAAGCAGGCATCTGACGCCTGCGACAAAATCATTCCAACAAGGTTCTGAGCCACTCCGCGGTAAGTCCGGGATCCCCCACTTGAGATTGTAGCTCTGACACCCAGGGCACCCGGGTGATCCTTTGAAACAGCCAGGCTTGATTGCATGGTGCAGGATCATACAATGATCCCCGAGTGCAATACGAACGCGTGTCGTCTCAAGTCAGAGCCATTAAGTTGGCCATTAAGTTACGGCATGTTCCACCGCACAAAAGCCTCAGTAGGATATCCCATCTGATACCTTTCAAGATCCCAGGCAGTAGACCGTCCGTGATGCATGCCAGGAAAATATTGAACTACTACGCACGAATAATGAAACGGCTTAGTCGCAAAATTGAAGGCTAACTCCATACGCAGGCACAGCATATACACGGACACAGCACATGCATGCACGTCATTGCCCTGCTATGGCAGGCGGACACAACCATGAATGCGGTACAATCATGCATGCTCTCGATGCAATATGTATGGATGCATCTCACGTGTATATACACGGTACGTACACATACATGCACGTCAGAAATGTATGTAGGTAGTTCTCAAAACATGGGTTTCCTGGAAGCCCCTATTTGAGCCTTGGACCCCCATGACATGAGGCGACGGGCAGCCTGCTAGCTATATACGATGAGCCTCAGAGTAGAGAAGCCTGCTTAAAACCAAGGAACCCTTCTGAAACCCCTGTATGGAAAGCCCCAAACCACAGGAAGGCTAGACATCGAAAGCACAGAATCTGGAATTCGTAGGGAAGGGGTGTGCGGAAGTGCAACTGCCTAGCCACCTGGCCGTTTCAGCGCCCAGTGGTGCAAAATCGGGTCAATCGAACAGATCGCCTTCGGCGATGTCGAGAGGATTATTCGGCAACATGTGAGACGTCGCCTCTTGGCGATGAGTCGATCAACGATTACGATTCGCTGTCGCTATGAAAAGGCTTTACAGAAACGACATAGGAATCTCATCACAAGTAGTCGAGCATCGTCGGATCACGACAGATGTGCGCGTTTTGCGCAAAATTGCCCACCGGCCGAAAAGGGGACCAGGACCATCCCAGTGAAAATTGACACGGCCGAGAGCACAGACATAGTAGCTCGATGGCAAGAGATCACCCGAGTCGAGTCCCATAAAAGGTACCAAGGACGCAAGTCTTGGGAACGCATAGGCATAGTCTTGACATGTGGATGTACCTATACTTACTGACCTATCTGGACACCGAAGGATATGATGTGTCTGCCCTTCAAGACCCTTGTTATGCCGCTTTTCGACGTCACGCATTGTGTCCTATCCAGGAGCCGCCGTCTACGGAGATGCCCTTACGATTACGAGGAATAGCCACAACCATAATCCCCGTCACGAGAGAATCAATCGTGACATGGGATCTCGACAGCTTTGCAGACTCAGAGGTCTTGCGGCACGAAGAAGCCCTTGGATGCGCGACACGAAGGGTGCACTTCTCCAATTATAGCTAAGCATCCAACGACAACGTGCAGATCGGATGAGCAAGGTGTTGAAGTAGTTGCCGATATCAGCACAACTGAACAAAAGCAAGAGCAACAGCAACATCACTAGCCCTTGCAACGGGGCAACACAGGACAGGGAGAACACAGAACAAGTACTGAGAGGCGCAAAAGTTCTGACGATGACGATGCTCATCAGGATGATGAAGGTAATCTGGGCAATAATAGTACGAGCATCCGTTTCGCCGTAGAAAGTATCCCCATGAGAAGAGTACGAGGGGTATACTCAAGACTAAACAACAGAGCGTACTCATAGAGAACACCCCAAGCTCCGCAAGTACCGTCCCCTGTTGCGCGCCGACCCTTCTTTCTTTGCGAGGCCCGGAGAAGCTGAGATGCCACAGTATCGAAAAGTTTTTGAAAACTACAGTACCAGTATAAGTGATCTCACACGACCAGACAAGCAACAAGTCAAAAAAGACGTGACAGGTGACCAGAAGGAAGCAATGCAGTGCATAGCAGTGGCATCGACTAGCTGCACTAGCTGAAGACGAATCTAAAGATACTATAGACGCCTTAATAATTAGAATAGGGTTTTGGAGTCCGTTATACTATAGGTATAACAAGGAACCCCCCAAAATAGTATTGGAAATTATTTAGGCCCCTATATTAGGGAGCTTCAGAACTTCAACTCGTTTCAAGGCAGATCCACAACGTCAGAACAGGCTGGTGCAAGTCAACACGGTACTCAGGGCTGTGGCTCAGGTTGCCAGGATGAGGGATTTAGGAAACCCGGATGCATTCTCGTGGTTCTGTGGCAGAAGACCGGCGGGCTTGGCTGCAGCCGGTTTTCTTACTCTCAAAAGCTTGTGCTCTCCCATGACTAGAAAAGAGTTTTAGAGGCCCTTGGAGGAATCAGCTACCATCTTTCGAGAAGCCCATTTGCAGCGCAAGGTCTTTCCAGCTGTCCCGTCATTTGGGCATGGCCTGACACGTGCAGGCATTTAAATTTGAGCATGTCTCAGGGTTGAAGGGGTAAGCTAAGCGAACAGACTGCTTTGATAGCGATAACTGCAGCGATTTCTGCAAGCATGATCGGATTGTAAACCCTCGGGCACATAGTGCTTGCGAGGTGCCAGCCAGCGGGTGAGCTCGTCACAGCTCACACAGCCATCCTCGGCCAGTGGAAGCAGTTCTTTGCAACTGTGGCCGAATACTATGTTCACAGAGTTTCGAGGACTATGAAGGACTGCATTCCACGATTATTGCCAATTACTACTGAATTTTGCTTCGGCTGTCCATGCTGGGCGAGCATTGAACTGAAGATCATACCTTTGAAGCTTGAGCTGCTTCCCCTCACGATCAAGAGCTCTGCATTGTCCTGTTGCAAGGGTCTCTGGAAGAATCGGAGTAGCTTGTGAAAGGGCTGATCGAACAAGGATCCTACTGCGTTACTCTTCGGAATCAAGAACCCATGAACCCCACATAGAACCTGGGGATTTTTTGCGAAGCACGAACCCTCAGCCGCTAATCCTCTTCTTTCAGCCAGAATTCTGCCTCCGAGTTGGGCAGGTGCGGAAGCAACGACTCGGCCAAGGTAGAGGCCTCATACTGCACTGCTGCTGGACGACCTTCTGCTTTGTCCATGCTAAGGACTATATAACTACCAGAATGGCCACAATTTTCGACTCCTAAGGCAATGTCGGAGCCCGTCCAACCATGTACTATCAACGTTCCATCCCTTTGTTGCTGCCAGCAGTACTACTCGTAGTACAAAGTACTCGTACGTTCTAATACTTATGCTAGTACTAGAACTAGTAATCACTTCCCCCTAACACTCAACCCCCCCTAATATAAAAACTCCCGGCCCTCGGAATTTTGCGGTTTCGGGCCCCGCATTCAATTTGAAAGGGACAACATTAGGGGGGTGGCAGATCTGTATGTGTTTTAATTGAAGGAAGACTACCGTAGTACTAAAGACAGCAGAGCTTTAGGGTTTAAGGGTTTGGGGCTCAGGGCTAAAGCTTTAGGGCTTGGGGCTTTAGGGCTTAAAGTTTAGGGCTCAGGGCTTTATAGAGCCAAAGATTACAGCAGCACTAAAGACACCAGAGCTTTAGGGTTTAAGGGTTGAGGGCTCAGGGCTAAAGCTTTAGGGCTCAGGGCTTTAGGGCTTAAAGTTTAGGGCTCAGGGCTTTAGGGTTTGGGGCTCGAGGTTTAAGGCTTGGGGCTTTAGTAGGGCCTCAGGGCTCCAGGCTTAGGATAGCTAGCAGCTGGGAGTCCGGGTACGTGGGTGCACCGAAACCCCCCCTAATATAAAAACTAAACCTCCGAAATCCAGTTCTTATATTAGGGGGGGACCTTTTATATTAGGGGGAAGGGATTAGTAGCATCAGTAGTACCAGTTTATAGTAATGGAAGTAGTAATGGTTAACTACTACTACTACTACTACTACTACTACTACTACTACTACTACTACTACTACTACTACTACTACTACTACTACTACTACCACTACTCCTCCTGCTCCTGCTGCTGCTGCTGCAACGACGACGACGGCGACGATGAGACGACCACCACGATGCACCGCTGCTGCTGTGTGGAATTTGCCATAGCACTGCGCCTCGTCTTCAGCGCGACCCAGGGCCGAGAGAAGCGCCCGGAGAGGCAAACGCTCGACGTTGAGCGACTGCGGCTATTTGGGGTTGAAGGGAAGAGAAAGAAGTTTCAAGATGTCGAGTTTCAGGGCTCGGAGCTTGTCACGGGGAAGTTCGACGTAGCTGCGTGGCCGGGACACTCCAGACTCCAAGGCGCAATGGTAACAGAACACTGTGGGGCACAGTGACGGTTAAGTGCTGGTTAGCATTGCAAGAGTATCAACCCACATGCTACGCTGTTTGATGTGTTGCATCATGTTGCATCCTGCTTCGTACTACGACAACCCCATAGACACTGCCCACCGAAAGTAAGTAAGCAACGTTCTAGAGCATTGCATCCTGGAGCCATGACATTGTCATGACGCTGCACATGCCGGCACCGGAAGGAACTATCGGAACTGCACCACTTGGATCCTACACGCACGGCCCCGAAACTCCCAAAACTCTCAGCTGGCCTGAAAGGCCCTCATCAGGGTAGCCTTTGGCAGCCACCGCTTCTTCGGAACAGGAGTTGCTCGGCTTCTACGGATAGCAGCATAGACACCCCAGTTACGCCAGTATGCATGTCGCACCGCAGGTTTGAGACATAGCAAGCAAAAACCTAAGACGAGCTGGTGTATTTTCTTGCCGAGTAGCGACGGAATGAACGACAGGCCCGTCCCGAATTACGAAATGGATCTAAAAGGGCTTTGGAAATCCGGTCCCTCTTCTTGGCCTAACTTCGTCGCCCTTGCGGGACTGTTTCCTGCGCCCTAGGCTGTGGCTGGTTGATACTGGGCTTCTTGTAGAGGGATTTAATGTATCTAAGTTACTCGAATAGGGATCTAAGAGATCTACAGCAAATTTTGCTTTAGATCCCTTAGATCCCTATATATTTGAACTATATGGTTTCGTTCTCATGGTACCTTAAACTACACCCTAAACCCTAAGCCTTTTACAAGAACCCAGGATAAGGCCAGGGCCGCCAGATCATCTTCGGAGAAGCCTTCCGCAGGAGCAGTGGTAATGCAGGAATCTGATTAAGAAACCCTGGGCCCATAACCCCAGAAAAGTAGGATTCATATCAGGAACCCTGATGAAGGCCCAAGGTTTCTCAATCAGGTTCCTAGATTTAGTGTGAGGCCGGCAAAGCTCAGGAGACCCAACTTGGGATGTACGGTCTCTGAGAAGATCGGCCACAGAGTAATGATCATTATCTTGGTATTCTACCCTTGTAATATTAATCATAGGTTAATGGTTATTATACTAGTAGTAAACTACGGTAATATTAGTAATAGGTTGATGATTTTGTGTTCTTATTGTATTATACTCTTGCAATATTAATCATAGATAGGTTACCATTATATTAAAACATACTACTGTAATATTAATCATAGAGTAAGGATACTTATATTAGGACTATGCTACTTTATATTGTAATATAAAGAGCGCCCCAAAACGGAAAACTCACAGAACCTCGCCAGGCCTCGAGCGAAGGAGGCTGAGCGAGACAGGAGGCAGTCCTAGCCGCGAGCTGCGAGCGGTTTAGGGTTTGGGGTTTGGGGCTTAGGGTTTAGGGTTTAGGGTTTGGGGTTTAGGGTTTAGGGTTTGGGGCTTAGGGTTTAGGGTTTGGGGTTTAGGGTTTGGGGTTGGGGGTTCCGAGGTGTTGGGATTTCCATGGGAGTCCTGCACTCCATTGTAGTTCCTCTTTGGGATTAGCTTACAGGATCCTGAATATAAACCAAAAAAAGGAACTACACTTACTACAGAGCCTCTAGGTATGCACTATCCAAAAACTACACCAACGGATACGGAGAGCTCCCCGAATCTACCGAAGCGACGACTCCAGCCCGAGCCATAGTCGTGTTACGAACGCTGTATATAACTCTTCAATTTAATGCTCAGTTCGTGAAGTCTTCTCAGTGTGACTGAAGAGGTTGCTTTCGAGCTGTAGAGCCAAAGATAGGCAACCATAAGCCTCCCAACTGCGACTTGAGCCCGGATCAGCTCCTCAGCATCTGTCTGGGAATTGCCTCGGCCGTTTCTCTCACTCGCGGCTCTGGCTTTCGCAGGGCCTGCTAGAAATCTTTGGTGCGACGTCCGAAGCTCATTCTTCACAGTCTTATGATATCGGATTCTGTTATCTTCCCATTGATCCTTACAAAGGCATTGGATTGCTTCAGAGGACCCGTGCGAAGCAAACAAGTGCACCATGCATCCGAAGTCCTGTTTGCGTGTTCGTGTATGTTGGAGGGTTTTTGCCCCATTGGTGAAGACGTCTCAATCCCTTCCAGGCTCTGGAGCGGGTTAAGTTCCGTTCCAGCACGTTCGAGTGACAATCCTGGGTTTTTCTCGAGCCAACCCAGCGAAGCAGGCACCTTGGTCAGACCCTCTAAACACTAAACCCTTTTTGAGACCCCGGCCCGATGTGATCCGAGCGAAAGCCACCTCTTGCTCCAAAGAAACTCCGCGTGAGAACGCGAAGCCACCTCATGGCCAGCGCTTGAACGAGTGTGCAGGTTTGTAGACATACGGGCTGTAATGTGTAGATAGGTCTTGAGCTCGGGGAACAAGCTTTAGGATTTCCGGTTTAGGAGTTTCGCTTGGGGGTTCAGGATGTAAGGCTTACGGTGCAGACCTTGGTAGTCCTCAGCGGTGTGCCTGGATTTTGAAGCCATGGTTACAGTCTACGACAGCTTTGATATTTCAGACAGGGGCAACTGGAATTGCAAACACTCGTGTTATGAGTATTTCCGCCTTTTCCAGTCAGAGATTGTGCGTTCCACTTGTTGAGGCTTTGAGCTGCTTCGTCAGGATTGCCTCCGAGACATCACCATATCAGGCGATTCCTGACTCGTTCGAGAGGAAGAGATAGAACTAGGTTTCACACACCACATGTGCACAAGAGAGCCTGAGTGCAGAAAAACGTGGCGTGGAGTTCGCGACACCTTCTCCAGCAGCATGAATTTGGGGAAGGCCTTTGGATGCCTTGCTTAAACTGTGTGCCTACGTCATCCGAGATGTCCACTTGCTCGAGGATCCAAGAAGCCCCCGAGGCCCAAACGAATAAGTATAAGGGCTCCGAAGTTCTTTCTGCCATGATGCCCAAACCATACCCATCTACACTCTCCGACCTTGTGGACCTTGTGGTGATTGTGGGGATGGCAGCTCGGCAGCAGAAGGCCTCCGGTGGCAAGGTTCTCGTGACCGTAAACCCAGCGGCTAGCTCACTGCGCTTGTGCGAACGCATCTTGGAAGCTGCAGGTGAAGCTCATCCACGTGCACTATCTGGCCGACTTCTTCTACTTGGGCTTGCCGATCTCAGGCTTGGGAATAATGTCGAGCAAGGGGTCAAGCCACTTCTACCGTCTAGATTAGGCTTCGAAGCATGTGGAGCGATTGCAGACGTCCGCGCAAAGTCTCAATCCCGACTTTTGTTTGTGGGGGCCGGGCGATTGGTCCAAAGAAACGCCACGAGAGAAGCTGGAGCTCATCACCTTGGCTTGCAATGGCATCTGAGCGCGGGACGACAGGGCCGGATTCTCCGAGATCCAGGTCTATATACAGGTCTATAGCGATACAGTCGATATAGTATAGATTATAGAATGCTATTCCCTGCGATTCCTTGCGAGTGCAGCTTCGAAAGCCCCTGAGTCAGGATCTGTCAAGTAGATATAGCCTGCACTGGGGTCCTCAAGTTCACGTCGACGGGGGCCCAGGATCGTCTTCGACGTCCCGGTCCGGTGCCCAGATGCCAAAATTAATTGACTGATTCATCGCCTCAAACCTCACACAGATTGCTCGGGGGCAGTGTGTGAGATTCGTAGATGCGGCCGGGCATCCTAACGAACATGCGGATGGGAAACAGGCTTCGGGGATTGAGACACGCTTTCATGGGTACTGCGTCGCTACCCAAACCCTAAACCTCTGAATGTCTTTGCAGATGAGTCGCTGTCCATGCCACAGTGTCCGCGAGCTCCCGTGGATCCGAGGGCATCCGGCGAGTTGGCTGCCTCAGTCTGCCGGCTACTTGACATCTTCCGTCGGTTTAGAGTTTAAGATTCTGTCCTACTGTGTTTGAAAACTTGGGGTAACCCCAAATCCACACACATGGGAGGTCCACAGCCGCTTCAAGACGGCAAGACAGCGACACACCCTCAGGACAGGCTCTGCAAGAACAAGCAATAGCCTAACATCTTGCCCAGTCCTGAAGAAGCCGCGGCATCCGTCACCATGCCCCAACGCTGCGACAGGCTGCATGACTGCACAACAAACTCTCCAGGATCCTCCGAAGCCCAAACCCTCTCCCAGCCTTGAACCTTGATCCGAGGATGATGCACCACTGTGATCCGGATATCTCCCGGCTGAACGCGGCAAGGCGGCGGAGCAGGCGGTGGCCAGGAGGGAATAGCTGGGCGTGCAAAGTGTAGATCTTCCTGATCCAGTGTGTGGTTTTCCTTTGAGGGCCTGACCGTTTGGAATTGCGTTCGGAGGTATGCCTGCCTTCTATGTTAGCCTTCCAGCAGGGTTTCGGAATCGCCCGCTTAAGGCACTGTGACTTCAAGGGCTTCTGGTTCAAGCTCTTGAACGTGCAGGAGGCTAACAAGTGGATTTGCCCCGACGTCTTTTCGGAGTTGTGTCCTCAGACCCGAGAGTCAGGAAACGGGGTACATGATTGAGGGTTCTGGGTTTGCGTTCAGGGAGTGTTGGGGAGGAGAGGAAGGCTTTGGAGACTTAGCTTGGGGACTTGTTATCAACAACTGCTGGGGACTAAATCATCTGCGTCCTTCGGTCGGTAACTTCGGCCACACATACGAACACGAACATACTGCTGCACGAAGGGTCAACCTTCAATCCAGCTGTGCTTCTGCAGGAGGAACCCCTTGCTTTCGTGAGCTCGACCAACAGCAACCCTTCCTTGCCTCTCTCCATGCCGATGCATCCGGCGAAGAGTCCTTGGCACAGGCTCCTCTTGGAGATCTAATGCCCCTTCTGCCTGCTTCATCGCAAGCAGCGCAGCATTGGAGGCTGCTCTAAAGAAAGCCAGTTGTTCGGACTTATGATGCATGACGTGTTGGCAACATGCTCCTGGCATTGTAAGAAGACCGTAGAGGCTATTGCATACTCCGTCGAGTGCCTTTATCATCCACTGCCTCCCGACCAGCCCTTGCTTTAGCTCAGAGTTCTGAGCCCGAAATCGCTTGCACCGAAGGCGTTGAACCCTTTGGCCCTGAAACCTTCACTGAGCCACCCAGCCTGGTCTAAAGACGCCTCGGCCGCAGCCATGTAGCCGGCTTTCTCTCGGGTTTCCCCGAAGGAAAAGCCTGGCATTGTTTGCTCTCGTTTCTCTCTTGCTTTCCAGATTTCCCGCTACCTTCGTAGCACCAGCAGCAAAGCACCGGCACCAGCACAAGCACCCGCACCAGACAGCACCAGTATCAAAAGCCGCAGCAGCAGCAAGCCAACGTCGTCGTAGTCGTCGTCGCAGTCGTAGGTGCAGTCGTCGTCGTAGTCGTAGTCGCAGTCGTAGTCGTAGTAGTCATAGTAGTCATAGTAGTCATAGTAGTCATAGTAGTCATAGTAGTAGTAGTAGTAGTAGTAGTAGTAGTAGTAGTAGTAGTAGTAGTAGTAGTAGTAGTAGTAGTAGTGGTAGTAGTAGTAGTAGTAGTAGTAGCAGTAGTAGTAGTAGTAGTAGTAGTAGTGATAGTAGTAGTAGTAGTAGTCGTCGTCGTCGTAGTAGTAGTAGCAGCAGAAGCAGCAGTAGCAGTCGTCGTCGTAGTCGTAGTCGTAGTCGCAGTAGTAGCAGTAGTAGCAGTAGTAGCAGTAGTAGCAGTACTAGTAGCAGTAGTAGTCGTCGTCGCAGTAGTAGTAGCAGTAGTAGCAGTACTAGCAGTAGTAGCCGTAGTAGCAGTAGTAGCAGTAGTAGCAGTAGTAGCAGTACTAGCAGTAGTAGCCGTAGTAGCAGTAGTAGCAGTAGTAGCAGTAGTAGCAGTAGTAGCAGTAGTAGCAGCAGTGGTAGTAGCAGTAGCAGTAGCAGTAGCAGTAGCAGTAGCAGTAGCAGTAGGAGTAGTAGTAGTAGTAGTAGTAGTAGTAGTAGTAGTAGTAGTAGTAGTAATAGTAGTAGTAGTAGTAGTAGGAGTAGTAGTAGTAGTAGGAGTAGTAGTAGTAGGAGTAGGAGTAGGAGTAGGAGTCGGAGTCGGAGTCGGAGTCGGAGTAGGAGTAGGAGTAGGAGTAGGAGTAGCAGTAGCAGTAGCAGTAGCAGTAGCAGGAGCAGCAGCAGGAGCAGCAGTAGTAGCCGGCAGAGTACTGCTTTACTTAGTACTGCTGCTGCTGCTACTACTACTACTACTACTACTGCTGCTGCTTCTTGCTACTACGACTGGTACTAGACCTACCGTTTTTCCTAGCATATCGAATTCCGAAAGCGCGAATTTCACGCATAGTGTCTCGGTACTCGTCCCATGAGGGGTAGACTTGACTTTGCTTGCAGCCTGGTGGCAGGAGATCGCGTCAGGTTCCGGCGAGAAGCTGGGTGTTAGGCTTGGCGACTTGCACGGGTCAGCGTCGTCCAAGTCAGCGTCGCTTGGCATGGGTGTGTCCACATCTCCCTGGCCGACTTAGTATTGCCAGGGGAATGGTCTGTTCACTGGCTTCCCTGTTGGAGCAGCGCCCCGCTGAGGCTTCAAGATGGGCAGCCCTCGGATCTTCCCTTCTGCACCCTGCGATAACTGTGCTCCAACATCTCAATCCTCAACCGACAGACGGTCCCAGGCTCATCCTCTAGGCTCCCAAAGCCTGATCGGGCCCAGGAAAGGGTCTGAAGAACGGCGAAGCGGGTCCGTTCACCTGGGCGACACTTCAGGGACTGGGAGCACGGGGTTCAAGCAGATGCCCTTCATCGCAACGGCTCCAACTACCGAAACCCCTGGCTCTGCTAAGCCACTGCTTGTGGCTCGGTGAAACGGAGGCTAGTGAAAGCTATTGTAAGATGCCGGTGATGAGAATGACAGCAATTGTCATTGCAATGGCGACGGAAAAAGTGACGATGGGAAAGTACATGCTGGTGATTACAATGATGATGACGACGATGACAAGATAACGACATCAGTCTTGACTGTGATGCTAAGAATTCCTGCGAGCTCATGGTCACGATGATGATGATGGTGATGATGATGATGATGATGGTGGTGGTGATGGCGATGGCGATGGCGATGGTGATGGCGATGGCGGTGCTGATGATGATGTTGATGATGATGATGATGACAATGATGAGGCAGCCAAAGACTCTGAAGCATTTTGAAGCCCTGCACCCCCCAGACTCCAAACCTTCAGCGCCCAAAATGCCGAAACACTGAAGCCCAACATCTGGGGTTCCAGGCGGGCACCGAAGCCGGCGCTAGCTGCTGCAGGCCTACAGACAGAAGTGCCGTCGTGCTTTGGCAGCTGCTACAGCCATCGCGATTGCCGTCATGGTTCTCGACGTTGGATTCATCGTGGTGATGATCGTCCTAGACCTTCAAAAGCTCTCGAACAATCATGTCGTCCATGGTCTCACGTGACCCGGTATTTCAGTCTCCGTCGGGGTTAAGCTTGGCAGACATGCATGAAAGATGTCGTTCACTCGCCGGAAGCCGGATCCAATCGCCGCATCAAAATTGACCCCAGGGTTTTCGACCGTTTCCTTACCTCTCATGCCAGAAGTACGGAGAACTGGCACGGCTGCTTCTTCAAGATGCTGCCTGCGTGACCACAGTCGGTTCCCGGGTCGTCTTCCTCCTTTGCAGGAGCGCGGACCACCGTCACCTCAACCTCGAGGCGAAGGGGCACTTGCTACGTCAGTCAGCTAATCAAGATTCATTACTACGTGATGCAATATGAAAGAATAGAATATCACAGAATGGAGAAGAATAGAACAGAATGGACCACAACATCACATGACATAACACAACATAGCAAAACACAACATAGCATAACAAAACATAACACTATGCAGTATAGCAGAACAGTAGATATGAGATTCTACGATGTAACAAAAGATGATACACAAAAGTGAAGCATAATAAAGATAAAGATGATGCAATGTAATGTAGGATAAAGTACATCCTGTATTTAGCACAGTGACAAAATAAAACCAAATATGACACAATACAACATGATGTGATACGAGCTGATATGTGAAAACAACACAAAAAAAACAAAGCGGTGAAACAAAATTATGTAAAAAAAAAAAGGTGGCAGGTCAAAACCCAAACCATACAGGGTATGTAATGAAATTGTTCATACTACGCGATTATACAGCGAGGCATTAGGAAAACATAGAACAGATTGAAAACAAACTACGCAGTATGGCATGATGTAGGACGATACAACATAGCATAACAAGCACACTATAATACAAACCTGAAGCAATAGAGTATGACATAATATACCATAACAGACTATAACTGATGTGGTATAATAACACGCTACCACACTGTAAAACACTGCAACAGAGCAGAGCGGAACACGCTAAAATACGATAGAGTACACCAGAACATAGTAGAACATCATAGAGCAGAAAAGAACGGACCACCGTAGACTAGAATAGGATAGAACAAACTATAATCCAATAACACACAACATAACATAGCATAACATAATATGACATGGCATAACACAATACAGACAATACAGGTAGTATTATAAAGCACAATACGGGTAGGATAATAAAGCGCAACACAATGAAGTATAACATAGCATGATGTAACATGCTTTATTCTGCCATAACCCAACATAGCATGACATTCTAAAGCACACAATACGGCATGGTACTATCATGGTAAAACTTCATGTAGCATAACTTAACATAATACAGCTTAATAGAAAACAAAAAAGATGGAACAGGACAGCATAGCATAGCTTAGGATAGCATAGAATAGCAGAGACTAGCATAGAACGGCATGGAATAACATAGCATACCAGAGAATAACATAGAAGAGCACAGCATAGAATAGAATAGAATCGCACCCGAGGACGGCAAGTCGAATGCAACAAAACAGAATGAAATGGAAGAGAAAACAATCTCGCAAAAGATAATGCAGTGTAGTATAGTATTGCCGAGGAGAGTATTTTAAAATTGCACAAACACAATATATAACATCCGGAAAACAAGACAAGATGAAGTAAGACTAAGATAACCCAAACTGCACCCCGACCTATCCTTACCTCTACCATCTCCTGGAAGCACGAAATGGGATCCTAAAGCCAAAAGTCGAATACAGGGGCCTGAATAATTAGAATAGGGTTTTGGGGCCCAATAGACTATAATTATGATAAGGGGCCGCCACAATAGTACAGGTAGTTATTCGGGCCCCTATAGTAAAGCCTTGCGAGCCCTGTGCTTGCCTGCCTCGACACAGGGGCCTAAACTATGAGAATGGGGCTCGGAGCTATATCTTATATTCTTGTCTTCTTGTTTTGCAGGAAACCTACGGAATAGTATTGAGAAGCGTAGGTTAAACATCAGAAGCCCTGAACCCTAAACCCTAAATGTCCACAGCGCTGCAATCCCCGATAGCAGCCGAAGTTTGCAGTTGCGTAACTGGTGCAGCTTGCGACAACTCGTCTGGCCCAGTTCCTGGCAATTTTGAATACTCAAAGCTGGGTGCTGGCCGAAAGCAAGGTCAAGGGCAGAGATGCAAGTCGCACGGCTTTTTGAAGCCTTGGGGGATCGGCGACCTTCGGATCTGTGTTCTGATTCGAAGAAGAGTTCCAGCTTCGGACTGAGGCTTGGGGTGCTTACCTGCGACGTGCTCAGAGAGGGTAGGGCCTTCTGTTTGCGGAAGAGTACACTCAGAACTGTGACAACTTAGCTTCCCTCTTCGTCATGCTTTCGCCCAGATGACCAAAACCCTTGATGCAAGCCGAAACCGTCGCAGCAGGCTCTCCTTCCCGTTCGCTGTCGTCTTCCAAGCTGCGGGAGCTGTCTGAAAAGCTGCGCTCCATGTCCTGTGTGTTCCAGGTTATGGAAACTCGTGAATCTTGGATGTGCGTCCTAAACTTGCGATTTCAGAGAAATCATCAGATGCAGGATTCAGCGCTTCGGCCTTTCCCAACTGATGAGTGCACCTTGTATCATAGCAAGCGGCACGGATATCGGCACCGTATATAGAAGCCTCACTTATCACCCACCTCCTGCTACGACCCACCGACTCCTGAACTCTGCATGCTGCTGCACTTCTTGAAACTATTGTCGCGTCAACTTCTCTTCTTCTTAGTATTCTTCTTCTTGTTCGTAATGTAACAGGATCCCTGTTGCAATTATGCTCACTATGGCTATAGTTTTCCGAAAGGCTTGCTGTTGCGAGCTCTCTTCAAATAAGCAATCATGGTTGGTAAGACTAATCGATCACATGAATACGGGGCCTGAATAAATGAAACAGGGTTGTGGGGTATATTGAAGTATATTGTGCTGTAGTTGTATCGGACAAAATTGTCTGTTATTATTGCGAAGTACATTAATTACCTGCAATACCGCGGCCTGGTTGTCGACCGCCGGGGCTTTGCGCTTGCGAGGTGGCTCACTGTCCTTGCCGGGGTTGAATTCGAACAAGAGCATGACATTCAGGTTTTGCCCCAAAAAATCCTGATCTCTTTGGCACCGCTATCCTCAAAATCTCTACGCCCACACCGGAATATGACTTGCTTTTGGCTTTTCGAATGCACCGCAGGTCCTCTTCGGACTCGGTCTCTTGGCGTTCTTCGTCCTGGCAGTCAGGCGAATTGCGAAGAGGTTGAGCCGGCGCTTAAGGTCCAGGGGACCTCAGGGTGATTATGCTGCACTGAGACCCCGCGAACGAGCTTAAGCCACCATGAGCTGCAGAAGGTAGGTGCAGCTTGCACTAGACGGCTCTTTCGAACAAATCCGCCCAGCTTTGACCATGGATCTGCTAGTGAAATCTGACCGAGTACTCGTCGAGAACATCAGGTGATCCTCGAAAACAGGCAGCTGGAACAGTGGCGCCAGTGCGAGAGGTGCAGGATAGAGTCGCGGACAATATCCGTTTCTCCGTGGCCGAGTTCCAAGTTGCACACAAAAAGTCTCGGATGAGCAGCACAAAGCCCTTGCTGCACTCTCTTGCTTATTCATACCGGCCCTAGAAGCTACCAAAATGGGTGGTTGTCAAAATTATGGTCCCTTTTTGGGTCCCTATGATGGTACGGCACCTAATATTTAGGGTACCCAAAAAAAGGGACCATAACTTTGACAACCACCCAAATGCTGGCAACGTGTATACCGAGAAGCTTCTACCCTTGCCAGGCCTGGCAATTGAGGCTTCATTGATAAGGTGGATGGCCCAAAAGCCTAAACTATGAAAGCCTTGCACCACAAGTCCTGAACGCTCAACCAAAGCTCCACCTCAAAAAATAGAACACAACCTCCTCTTGAGTGTGCGAATCCCTCTGGAGGGCCTCCCGCTCGCTTTCGTGGTCAGACTCTGGCGGGGAGCTTCCAGGACCTTTCCGGCACGCGGAAACTGCAGTTGTGCCTCTTCTCATTTTCAGTACTCTTCCGGATTTGGGGGCATGGAGCCTCTCGACACAATGTCACAAGGTTTTCATAATTTGGGGAATTCGGAATGGAGTCTCTGGACAAAAGGTCCCAGACTTCGAATCCCCGAGAATCACAGAGGCTCGGGCCTTCCCGTGGGCTTGAGGGCCTCGACGAGCCTTCCTCCTTCTGGCCTTGGCACAAACCACCATGCAGCTCCGCACTCGTTTTCCGCGTTTCCACTATCATATCTGACTAGAGTGACGACAGAAAGTCTCATCACGCAGTATGCGTCAGAGTACTTGTCTGATCCGAATGCCACTCCAAGCGGCCGGATTCCACGGTCCCGCTCGCCGCCTGCCATTGTCGTTCAAGGTTCCCGTGCGACTGCAAGGGAGAAACTCTTCTGGCTGCTGAAGACGAAGCATCAAGATCGAAGATCAAATGCAAGATCGGCATTGAACGAGACGAAGTGGTGGGCTTGCCTCCACCTCCGACTCAAAGCTCTGCGTCTGCCGAACCTCAGCAGACAAAAGCATGGGCATCAGCATTTCTAAGAATTGCACAGCAAAGGCTTCTCGTTCCAATGAGCACCTGCGGATGGACTTGGACAGTCGCTGTGCTAGTCTTCGCACGCGTGCGCCCTGTGAAGGAGAATAACGCTGACGGCGGATCTGTGAACGCCACAACTGGGCAACTTTACAAGGCTGCTGTAAATCCACGTGTAATTACAGTACAAAATGCTGCTCTCGTCCTAAAGTTTACACATTTGCTAGGTGCGAGCTCACCAAACAGCTTGAAGATGTTGGCTATATTATAGTGACGAGGTCCTCGCAGAAAAGCAAGCCACCCGAAACGTGCCGAAACCAAAATCGTGGTGCGGGCCCCGGAACCTCTTCGTAGCTGGCCTCCGTGCCAGCATCTGCCGCATCCGCCTCTGCGTCTGTGCCCTCGCTCGAATGGCGATCGTCCTCCGTTTGCCACGAGGTGGACTCCTTTGAAGTGCGTCTGTCCTCGGCTTGATGGCAACCCCTCAATGGCTCACCGAACCCAAAGCAACCTGTTGCTTCGGCAGCATGCCTGGATTCCCCAACCTTCAAGCAAAGGCACCACAGAGACACCGGGAGCCTCGAGCGCAGCCTCGGATTCCTGGCTTCCGGAGCTTGGCTGCAAAATAGGGTTCCTTTAACGGGGTCTATAAGGGCTACTATAAGGGATCTATAAGGGTAGTATAATGCAGGGGCCTCAAAAATTAGAAGGGGCTTTTGAGATGTACATTATACTATAAGGAACCCCCAAAAGAATATTGGTACTTACTGAAGCCCCTCTGATTGGTGCCTCAATCAGCACCAACATTATTCCTGATGGTTCCCTACTACGATTTATAGTATACCCCGAAACCCGAACGGTGGCTATGGACTTAGGAGCTTTGCAGGATGGAGCCCGGCAGGGAATTAGCAGCAAAGGCCCCCCCCTGTCCCGAAACCTGGTTTTGAGCGACTTTGCACTATACTATACTGTACTATACTACTGTTGTGGACTCCGGCAAGAGTCTTTGCGAGGCAAGTCACACCTGAAGTGAACAGTTCAGGTCTGCCACACCTGCCCCTGCAACCCTTAACCCTTAAGCCTTAAGCCTTAGGCATGAGCTATACTTTGCGACCTTGAGAACTGAAAAAGTTCTGCATCCTGGCGATTTTCGCGCGATGGTGAACGAATATAGTCGATATTTCTATTCTCGTTGTTTCCACGCAGATTGCTCCAAAACAAAAATGCTTCCCTTCTTCCTGCATCATGGCACATCACCATTCTTACAACTTATCATCCTCACCCTGTGGCGCCTCGGACTCCTCCTGCCGTTCGGCCAAGCCCGCAGGCTGCTCATCCTGATCGAGCGAAGTGCTGGCATTGATTGTGCTGGCTATTCATGTTTTCCTATCATCGCAACCATCATAGCACAAGAAGTCGAACTGCTTCAAGTACTTGGTACTTGCAAAACAGTACTGATGATGGTAAGACAAGTAGTGAGAGGAGCAGCAGCAGCAGCAGCAGCAGCAGCAGCTACTACCACTACCACTACCACTACCACTACCACGACCACTACCACGACCACGACCACTACCACGACCACCACCACTACCACTACCACTACCACTACCACTACCACTACGTCACTACGACAACTACAACAACTACTACTACTACTACTACTACAACTACTACTCCTGCTGCTGCTGCTGCTACTACTACCACTTCTAGTGGTGACAGTATCAGTGGCAATGGCAGTGCCAGTGGCAGCACAAGTCGTCATCACGGTCGTAGTTGAAGTTGTAGTTGTAGTTGCAGTTGTCGTGGTGCTGCTGCTGTTGATGTGGCTTCCGTTATTATACCAGCTGCATTGCCTGCTCACCTATACCAATCTTGGCCGTCTTATCTGCCGGTCTCTTCGGGAGAAGTAGTGGCCGGCAGCTAGCAATGATCATCCTGACTATATCGCCCTGCCCACGGTAGAATCACCAATGCAACAAGTCTTCAACCACCGCCACAACTATATTGTGTCTTACCACCAAGCTTGAACGTTCACCCTTGAGCAATGGCCTTGACATGTAAAACACCTCGTCTTGTATCTCTTCACCCAGTGGCGCCTCGACATCCTCGGACTCCTCCTGCCGTTCGGCCAAGCCCGCAGGCTGCTCATCCTGATCGAGCGTAGTGCTGGCATTACTTGTGCTGGCTATTCATGCTTTCCTATCATCGTTACCATCATGGCAGAAGCAACCGAACTGCTTCCAGTACTGGTACTTGCATCAGCGGAGCTGATGGCAAAACAGGTGGTGATAATAGGAGTAGTAGTTGTAGTAGTTGTAGTAGCAGCAGTAGTAGTAGTAGTAGTAGTAGTAGTAGGAGAAGTAGTGAGAGGCAGTAGCAGAAAAAGGCAGCAGCAGTCGATGTGTTTGTTTCTTGTCGCAGCATTGCTGGCTCCTTCTGCAGCTCAACTTTACTAACCTTCGTCTGCCTGTCTTTTCCTTAGTAGTTCTCTAAGCCCCAAAAAGTGTACACTTTTAGTTTTATAGTGGGTATTATTATCCCAAAAAGTGTAAAGTCGCATTCACTCAGCTACTAAGTTTCGAAAGCTTCCAGCATCTTAGCAATGATCATCCTGACTATATCCCTGCCCACCACAACTGCAGCAACCCACGGTCGAATCACCAACGCAACAAGTCTTCAACCACCGCCACAACTATATGTCTTACCACCAAGCTTGAACGTTCACCCTTGAGCAGTGGCCTTGACATGTAAAACACCTCGGCTTGTATCTCTCCACCCCGTGGCGCCTCGACATCCTCGGACTCCTCCTGCCGTTCGGCCAAGCCCTCAGGCTGCTCATCCTGATCGAGCGTAGTGCCGGCATTACTTGTGCTGGCTATTCATGTTTTCCTATCATCGTTACCATCATGGCAGAAGCAACCGAACTGCTTCCAGTACTGGTACTTGCATCAGCGGAGCTGATGGCAAGACAGGTGGTGATAATAGGAGTAGTAGTTGTAGTAGTTGTAGTAGCAGCAGTAGTAGTAGTAGTAGTAGGAGAAGTAGTGAGAGGCAGTAGCAGAAAAAGGCGACAGCAGTCGATGTGTTTGTTTCTTGTCGCAGCATTGCTGGCTCCTTCTGCCGCTCAACTTTACTAACCTTCATCTGCCTGTCTTTTCCTTAGTAGTTCTCTAAGCCCCAAAAAGTGTACACTTTTAGTTTTATAGTGGGTATTATTATCCCAAAAAGTGTAAAGTCGCATTCACTCAGCTACTAAGTTTCGAAAGCTTCCAGCATCTTAGCAATGATCATCCTGACTATATCCCTGCCCACCACAACTGCAGCAACCCACGGTCGAATCACCACGCAACAAGTCTTCAACCACCGCCACAATTATATTATGTCTTACCACCAAGCTTGAACGTTCACCCTTGAGCAATGGCCTTGACATGTAAAACACCTCGTCTTGTATCTCTCCACCCCGTGGCGCCTGGACATCCTCGGACTCCTCCTGCCGTTCGGCCAAGCCCGCAGGCTGCTCATCCTGATCGAGCGTAGTGCTGGCATTGATTGTGCTGGCTATTCATGTTTTCCTATCATCGTTACCATCATGCCAGAAGCAACCGAACTGCTTCCAGTACTGGTACTTGCATCAGCGGAGCTGATGGTAAGCAACAACAACTACTACTACTACTACGACTACTACTTCGACGACCACCACTACTACTACTACTACTACTACTACTACTACTACTACTACTACTACTACTACTACTACTACTTCTGCTACTACTGCGACGACTACTACGACGACTACTACCACTACTACGACTACGACTACTCCAACGACTATTACTACTACTACTACTACTACTACTACTACTACTACTACTACTACTACTACTATCACTACCACTACCACTACTACTACTACTACTACTACTACTACTACTACTACTACTACTACTACTACTACCACTACTAGGCCGTCCCCCCCTGGTGCGACGCCGGTCGCAGAGTTCTTGGATGAACATCATGTCCCATGACAGGATGCTCTCCAAACCCAAATGCGCTAGACCATGGACGTCATTAGGTTTTGGACATGGATGCTCTCCAAACCCAAATGCGCTAGACCATGGACGTCATTAGGTTTTGGACATGGATGCTCTCCAAACCCAAATGCGCTAGACCATGGACGTCATTAGGTTTTGGACATGGATGCTCTCCAAACCCAAATGCGCTAGACCATGGACGTCATTAGGTTTTGGACATGGATGCTCTCCAAACCCAAATGCGCTAGACCATGGACGTCATTAGGTCTTGGACATGGATGCTCTCCAAACCCAAATGCGCTAGACCATGGACGTCATTAGGTTTTGGACATGGATGCTCTCCAAACCCAAATGCGCTAGACCATGGACGTCATTAGGTTTTGGACATGGATGCTCTCCAAACCCAAATGCGCTAGACCATGGACGTCATTAGGTTTTGGACATGGATGCTCTCCAAACCCAAATGCGCTAGACCATGGACGTCATTAGGTTTTGGACATGGATGCTCTCCAAACCCAAATGCGCTAGACCATGGACGTCATTAGGTTTTGGACATGGATGCTCTCCAAACCCAAATGCGCTAGACCATGGACGTCATTAGGTTTTGGACATGGATGCTCTCCAAAATCATGATCAAAATGAGGCCCAAAAAACCTTGATTCTGATCGCTAGGTTTTGGGCACGAAAATCGAGACACCCAAAAACAGTAAAAAATCATGAAATTCGCAAAGACAAGTGCTGTAAATACCAGCATTTTCGTGTGCGACATTGATGAACAATGTTAGAAAATATGATAAAAATACACACGAAACCAGGAACAGTTGTCACTTTCAATAACTGCGGAAAAAAAGTGCTGTAAAACACAGCATTTTCGACCACAGCAAGTCCCAAAAATAAGAGGTTTGGGCGTCGCACCGGGGGGGGCAACCCTACTACTACTACTACTACCACTAGTTATTACTACTACTACTCCTGCTACTACTACTGCTACTACTACTACTACTCCTGCTCCTGGTACTACTACTCCTACTAGTACTACTACTACTACTACTACTACTACTACTACTACTACTACTACTACTACTACTACTACTACTACTACTACTACTACTACTACTACTACTACTACTACTACTACTACTACTACTACTACTACTACTACTACTACTACTACTACTGCTACTGCTACTGCTACTACTGCTACTGCTACTGCTACTGCTACTGCTACTCGTACTGCTACTACTACTACTACTGCTACTACTACTACTACTACTACTACTACTGCTACTGCTACTGCTACTGCTACTGCTACTGCTACTGCTACTGCTACTGCTACTACTACTACTACTACTACTACTACTACTACTATCACTACCACTACCACTACTACTACTACTACTACTACTACTACTGCTACTCCTACTACTACTACTACTACTACTACCAGTGCTAGTGCTAGTGCTGGTGCTAGTGCTGGTGCTAGTGCTAGCGCTAGGGCCAGGGCGAGGGCTGGGGCTAGTGCTAGTGCTAGTACTAGTAAGTACTGCTAGCACTAGTACTGGTACCAGTACTGTAGCTGTGGCAGCTCTAGCAGCTGCATCCGACGCCTCTATCTCCTGGTCGACATGTAAGTCATCTTAACAACTCATGCTACGAAGAGCCTCACATTCAAACTGCACCGCAGCATGAGCCTCCTCTTCACCCGGACTCGAGGCCTTGCTTGACGCACGGCTTTGCTCCTGTGTATGAGCGGACGGTGGATTGATGAACAAGCTGGGGAAAAGACACGAATCTGTTAAAGCCAGCTCGAGGGGACGACCACCTACTAATGCCCGGCTAACATCCAAGTTTCCACTTTGAGCCCTGCACCTACACCTGCCCGGGCCGTCTGAGCTATCCCTTAAGCGCGGCCCTCATGCACCAACAAACAATGTAATAATTATGCGCTGACCGTCGCTGCCTACCCGAACGCTCCAAGCCTCAACACTGATAATTATAACCGTAATTCTCAACCGAACCCTCAATCCCACGCAATTTACTTACGAGATCATCAAACTTTCTGTTGGAAGAAAGGGATGCAACAACCAGACACTCTGCAGCGAACACGCAGCCTTGCAGCTTAAATGCTCGGAGGGTAGAACTCAAGTGTTATAGGGGCTTACGTCTGCAAGGATGGCAGCTGCAGATATGCAAGGGGTTACAGCCGTCTGACAGCATGAAAAAAAGCAGACAGGTAAACCTAGAAATCACAACAGCAACGGCACTACTAGTGCTCACAAACATGATCGCAACCTTGCCAGTGATAGGTATACAGGACCAGCAATGTTACTGAGAGCAAACTGAAAACTCAGTTCAACAAGCGCTTGTCGAAAACCCATTATAAGCCCGAAACCCGGAAGCACCAACCCCAAGACCCCTTTACACTCATTACCGGACCTTCATAATATAGCCCTTGTCGAACCCGCCTCCCTACCAAAAAAAGAAAGCCGTCACCCCGAGACCGCCTCTGAAGATCCAGGAAGAGGTTCAGGAGAGTCAGCGGGGTCACCTTCTATGGCGAGTTTGGGGGTTTGGGAGTTTGGGCTCTCGAGGTCTAGGGTAAGGTTTGGATTGACAAATTTCCGCGCTTTAGGGATTGGGCGACTGGGGCTGGTTCACATGTAGCGGCTGCGCAAGTGAGTCGTTGAAAAAAATTGAGAAGGCAGGGGTGTCTAAAAGCATGTTTCCGGTGGCCAGGCTTGCTGCAGCTCATTTTACAGGAGGGGGGCGGGGGGGGGCTCTGGGATCGTAGGGAGACTTCACAGCTTCAGAAGCATGTAAATGGCATCCTGCACAGCGCACCATATCAAAATCATGGAGCGATCATTCAACGTCTGTGGGCGGGAACAAGTGTCGCCTGTCACGGCACGCTGCTCCGGTGAGTAGCCCGCATCGTCTGGCAAGAAAATTTCTTCGAAGGGATCGGGTCTGAAAGTCTGAGACCAGGATAGGTGTGAGCTCTAAGTGATGTTGCTCATGATCATTCTGAGGATGATGGTGATGATGATGACGACAATGATGATGAGGAGGGGGAGCCTGATGTGGTGATGATGAGGACAGGCGGCGGAGGCGGAAGCGGAGGAGGAGGAGGAGGAGGAGGAGGAGGAGGAGGAGGAGGATGGTGATGGTGATGGTCCAGTGATGTTGATGATGGTGATGATCATGGCGATGATGGTGTTGATGATGACGTTGATGATTATAATGATGATAGGGATGGTGTTGTTGCTGTTGATGATGATGATGATGAGGATGTGAACATGAAGCTGCCCACTATGAAACGTAGGAAAATTATGATGAGATGGATGGTCCGACCATGACTAGCAGGACTTATCTCCGTATAGTCCTTGCATTCATTGGCATGACTATGATTGGCGACCATGACGTGATTCTTGCTTCGCTTTTGCATGCTCTAGGGGGGCTTCGGAGCCTGAGCCCAAAACCTAACAATCCTAAACACCTTGCAACAAACTTCGCGCGCAAACACACACACACACACACACACACACACACACACACAACCACACCCCCCAATTTAGTAAAGCTGAGGCCAGGCCTTCTTTGGCCGAAAGCTTCGTGCCATTCAGCCATGACACAGCCTGGACAAAGATCTGCTGACCTGATGCGACTGAGCGATATACAGCGTCGGATTTGAGGTTTGTCATCGAGGGCTGTCTAGACATGATGAATGGTGGGAGCCGGTGGAAGGAATCAGAAACCGCTAGACATCATCCCTACTCTTCCGGTCGCAGTCGTAGACATAATGTGCTAAGCAGCGCTAGTTCTGTGAGTGGCAAGGAGGTGCTGGAGTCCGGAACTCTCAGAAACTCTCGACCGGAACAACGAACAACTGCGGCGTCGGAAAGACTGGAATGAAAGAATGAAGGAAGGAAGGAACGGGTATGCGCGTATATGTAGGTGTGTAGTTATGTCGGTAGTTATGTAGGTAGATAGGTAGGAATTTCGGGTGTGGGTTGTGGTGCTGGAGGTGGTGGTGGTGATGGTGGTGGCGGTAGTGGTTGCCGTCGTGGTCATGGTGGCGGTGATGGCAGTGGTGGCGGTGGCGAGTCGGTTGTAAATCGGTAGGAGCGGTGGCGGCAGCAGGCTGCTGCTGCTGCTGCTGGAGCACGAGATCCCCCTGCGCGCTGTATGCCCCCGAAGATCAATCCCAATGCACCACCCTGCGAGTGGCCTCGCTGATGCATGACGCTCAGGCCATCCTCGTGCGACAGTCAATACATGCGCTATCGGGGTTCTACAGCGTTGCCCTTGCCGTTTGTTGGGGCCTCGTGCTAGCATCGAAGGGTTCTGCAGCGGGCCCCAAGCCTTCCTAAACAAGGCAACGGCATCCGGAAAGGGTTCATTCGGATGCTGCAGTAGATGTCTGGAAGAACCTATCATAACCCGATAAGCTAAGTTAAACTTCAATCTCGACCTATTTCGAGCCTCGAACAGCAGGGTGCAGCACAGTGCGACAAAACAAGACATGATGAACCTTCATGGTCTGCCAAGCCAAGTGGACTTCGCAAAGACCAATATGAGAGTTTCCGACAATGGGGGACCCTCATATAGTACACTAAGCAGTAGGATCCTTACTATAAGGACCCCAACTTACGGTACCCGTAATTTTCGGGAAATCCCCATATGATGGCAACTGCAGGTCCTGGAGGAACTGTCGGCAGCGGAGGTTGGCTGCTGAGATGCTTCCGGCCAACCTGTTTGCTCGAGGACTCAGGCCTAGGGCCTAGGGTGTAGGAAAGGCCCCAGTCTTGGGTGCATCCGGTCGGCAAAGACCTAGAGTCGGAGTAGAAATCCAGGCAAGCCATGAACAAGGAATTCGATCCGCAGAAGAGGCTCTTTGAACTGGGGCTGGACCTTGGGCACTACTGAAGGGCTTGGAGCTTCAGGCTGGTAGACTCTGGATATCAAGACGTCCCGGGCCTAAAAAGCTCGGGCCCTGGGATATAGAGCTTCGTGGTATTGGCAACCCGGCCTCTGCACTGCATCGAGCAGCATGTCCTGAAAAGTCTCGTGGCTCTTTGCTCCCCTCGAGTCTCGTAACTTCATGACTTTATGGTGGGACCTTTGCTGGAACAGCCGAATCCCCCTTTTTCCTTCTTCTGAATAGTGCCCCCCCCCTCCTCTAAAGGTCACGGATGAGCGCGACCCGACTCCCCGCAAAATGCTTGTTAACGCAACACGTGGCGGGAGCAGCTTTGAAAACTTGGCTTCCCTTGGCACACATGCAACACACATCCGTCGATTGGGCTGCGGTGTGGCACTGAGATCAAGCATGGGATGGTCGGGGGGGGGGGGGGGGGGGGGCAGATCCAGACACAAACCCCCAAGAGCTTAGAGACCCTCTGGACCTGTTTCTCTGGCTGCTGCAGTCCTTTTCGGCCGTGCTGTCGCACTGCGCAATCTGAAGGTCCAAAGTGGAGATGGCGCTGCTCACCTGCAACTGGGAATCTGCCCCACAAACCGACTTCAGTTGCGGAATTTCGATGTCGGCTTGCAGGATTTGGAAGTCAAGCTTCACGGCTCCGACACTAGGGCACCTTCGCCACAAACCTCCCTCAGGGTGCCTTGAGGATGTAGCTTATGGGCATTCCACCCGTGCCCTCGCTGAGGAGCCCATGTGGGGAGCAGAGCTTCAGAACCATGGGACCTTGGCGGGACGAGAGCGGTCTTGGGGCTTGGATTTCTGTTGTAAGGCCTTTATGGTGTAGGGAAGTCGGAGGCAAGAGCCGGTTAAGACGGGCTTTGGGCTGAAGACTTAGATCACCTAGCCTTCCTTGCGGGCTCTGGAGGAACCGAGCACAGAGGCGAGTAGAAAATCGCACCAAACCTCCGGCCAAGGACAATACTGTAGCCCCAGGACCCAAGATGCCGTAAGCCCTCGTGTGCTGCTCCTGTCTTCGCCAGTCTGGGTCACCGACGCCCAGATCCACGCACTTGCGTGGCCAGCAAAGCCTCGTGGAGGCACCACCTGCTTCTGGGCTTTGTCTATGCGGCTGGGATCACTTGCGCATGTTTGCAAGACTTGGCGGCCTTGGCCCAAGCCCGAAAGAGCCTGCAAACCTCAACACACCCCAAAGGAGAATAGCTCGACGCATAATCATCGCCAGGAAAGTACTTCAGGCATGTGGCATGCTTGGTTCGGCTACTCGCTGGTCCGAGAATAGGACAATACGAGTTTCAAGTGCAGGCGGCACCATGCGGGTACATCAACACAGGCCCCAAACTGATCCATGAAAGACGACTCCACACACCCGCACATGCCCAAACACACCCTCCGAAATACAACATCACCATCCCAGGCCCCCTCCAACTCTAAACCACCAAAACTCAAGATCCCAAATCCAAATACCCCGACCCAAGCACCCGAAAACCCTACTGGGCATCGGAGCGCTGAGCTTCCGGCAGTCTGCGAAGGCTCTGGGCTTCGGTCCCCAGGATCATCACAAAGCCTGAGGGAAAGTTGGGGTTTAGGGTTTTAGGGAATCATACTCGCGACTGCTATCAGAACCACGAGCACGTTCCACTTAGTATGACAGTGTTTGCTCTGCTTACTGCTTACTCTTGCATCAATGCTAATGATTTCAATAAACCCCGGCTATTGGCTTTAGTGTTGATCGTTGCTGTCACGACGGCGGGTACTTATTGCCACCAGTATCACTACTGGTGTTCCGAAAACCATTATGACCAAAGCTGATTGGGGTCCATATTTTGTTGTTATGCTTATGATCATTATGGTCACGAGTTGGTGATCTGGCGATTGTTGTTGGCATTGAGTACTGAATGCTGGCACGGCGGTCGCTGCTGAAAGCGCTTTTCTGGCTAATCTGAGTGTTCCTTTAATCTTCGGCAGTGAGGATACTGGCGCGGATAGGGGCGAAGAAGGACTGTATAGTAATGCACCCCAATGCTTCAGCTTCTGGTGTTCTGCAGCTCGTCGTTGCCCTGCCTGGTGTGTTACACTGTTGTTGCTCAGAGTACTGGCGGTCTACTGGCTACTATAGTTAACTACTAGACTGGGCCCATCCTTTTGACTCAGGTGAAAACCTCGGATGGATGCATACGGAAGTAGACTCGACCCGGCAGAAGCGTAGAGTGTAGTGTAAATGAAGAAGCTGACAGCTTGAAGCGGTAGAGCCGACCGCTGAGGGCTAGATCCTGAACAGGTCCTGAACCCCTACAGCTTACAACCCTAAACCCTAACCCTAAACCCTAAACCTAAATCCTGCTTCTGCCACTCATGTCGCAGCGAGCGGCTGTGGCAGCTCCGGCTGGTGAGGGCATCGCCGCTCAGCGAAAGCCGGTCCTCGTCCCTCGCTGGCGACCTCTGCAAGCATCACTTCGTTTTTAGTCAAACAGTTCCATGTAGCTGCATGATAAGGGGTTACTATAAGGGTTGGTATGTGTGAGCCACAGCCATGCGCAGCCTGAGTGCTAAATCCGGCTCCTATATGGGTGGTTGTCAAAATGATGGTCCCTTTTTTGGTACTCTAAATATTAGGTGCCGTATTATATTAAGGAACCAAAAAGGGACCCCAATTTTGACAACCACCCATATTATGATATGACAACTAGCTGCAACTGCCTCTGGACGAATGAAGCTGATCGATCGCAAACATTTTGGCTTCGCAAGGCGGCAAAAGTCTTGCAATCACAGCGGCCAGTGGTTGTTCGAGAAAGCGCAGATCCAAAGGCGCGTGTTCCTGTGAATCGGCGTTCGGTCTTTCTCTCCTTCAACCACACAGGTTGAAGACTTAATCAACTTTTCTTGGGATGCCAGTACGATGCTAAGACTTGGACTTGCTGACCCTTGCACAGACACAGGGGTTACCGGGTTGATGGTGAAGGGCCAAGCGGAAAGGACCAGAAAAGAAACGTAGCGTTTACAGGGCTGACAGGTTGTGGGAGGCGGCTACTGCAGCTGCGAGAAAAGAGGAAGCCTCAAGAAAAATCTGCAGCTGCGAGAAAAGAGGAAGCCTCAAGAAAAAATACTTGGATTGATTAACAAACTAGCAAAAAAAGTATCTGGGCCGACCCAACGAAACTGCATCGAAGTGTAAAAGCATCGACAAGAGCAGGGCTTCCGGGCGCTTCGTAATACGGCCAGAGAGGGATAAGGACACCCTGTGGCAGACGAACCCGAAGATATGCCAAGGAGCTCTGCGCGCATACTGCAGTGTGAGAGGGACTTGAAAAGCTCATCCACCTGAAAGACGGTTTCGAGTTTATGGCTTCGGCTGTCTGTGCGTTGCTGTCCAGGATCACTTCGACGAGCACAGGACTTGTGGACCGAGTGAAGACGGGCTACACCCCGTGCGGCCAGGAACCACAAGGAAAGAAGCGCCACATCCGGCGTGGAATAAGTTCCTAGTTTAGTAGCTCATGGAAGCCTGCTACTCGGACTCTCAGATTCGGAAACTGTGAGCCTCTAGGAGCCCTGAACAACCTGCATCCTCTGGCGGTCCAAGCAGCATCTTGGCCCCAATGATGCGACACGAAGGTCTGCACCGGGCCAGGGGTATACCTCTGCGCTCGGGAGGGGTTTGTCAGATTGTCAGTAGCCTTACTAGGCTCTGGGAACATGCAGGTTGCAGAGTCTGGAATACTTACGGGCAGGGGAAAATTAGGAGCTGATCGGGTTCTGCCAATTCGTGCCACTCGCCACTTATGACTCGATTACGATCGGCAGTAGCTTGAGTATGAGCAAGTGAAATACACAGCAGTGGGACTTGATAGTGTAGCATCCGTCGAAGTAGAATAAGGAAGCGTACAAGTATTGCAGTAGCTGTTGTCGCAGGTAGTAGCCAAAACTGTCTTTGTAGAAGCTCGCAGGCGTAGCAGGTGCTCCGTCGAGCTGAATCTATCCCTGACTCCTCGAAAATTGGACCGCTGCAGGGCCCTGCTAGAATAACAATAAAAAATCAGTAGTAGGCTTTTGATGACAACGACGATGACGACGATGACGATGATGATGGATGATGCTGCTGATGGTGACGATGAGAATGATGGCTGCTGATGGTGGTGATGTTCAAGATGATGATGACGACGATGGTGATGACGATTGATGACGATTGATGATGATGATGATGATGATGATGATGATGATGATGATGATGGTGACGGTGATGGTGATGATGATGAAGATGATGATGATGATGATGCCAAACCCGGCCCAAACCGCAACGTCGAGGTGCAGCTCTGCAAGCGAACACTGCGCCAGAGCCGTGTCGGGCAGCACGACACGGGTGATGGCGGATTTCCTGAGCGAAGAGTCAAGGTGGAAGTGCTAGAGCGGGGCTTTGCAAATTTGATGCATGTTTGTTAGACTCATTATACTTGCCGCAACATCATGGAAAATCCTCTGCCAGGCCGCATGTCAGTGGCCTCGCCCTGCATCGCACCACGCGCTCCCTGCGGGTCGCAGGCTTTTCGTGGTCCCAAAAACCAACCATGAGATTCTTCTGGTTCGAGTCCTTCGGGGTCGAAGGTTCAGGGCCCGCAAACCCGAACAAGTACCAAAATTAAGTTCTATGCAACCAGCTTCCAACCGAGGTCTCTTTCGCTGAACGAGCCCTCTCGTCTTCACACCTGCCACCAGAAGCTGAGGTCATGGAAGCGGATGCCACGCAGCCTGTGGAGGATTTGGAAAAGCTTCGGGTTTGAGGGGAGCACCAACCCTGCCTGCTCACGACGAAACGCACGGATTGAGAAACTCTCGGGCTTCGACCCTGAACCCCGTACCTGTTGACCCTACGGTTCAGGGTTCAGGGTTAAATGAAGGGTCAGGTCTCGGCCTGTGTGGCCAAGACCAGAGCAAGGTGATCAGCTGGGCATGGCTGGACTCCTCCGCTCTCCACCTGCTTGGCGTTCGGGCGGCAGGGGCTGAGAAATTCTGGCTTCCTGCAGCTGACTCAGGGCTCGGAATGGTTCGTCCAAGTGATCGGGAGGTTGAGACATGCATGCCTCTGGGATGCAAACCCAAGAATGCTGAAGAAAGCCGGGCCGAAACACTCTAAGTTGGCTGCTGATGCGAGATTGGGGCCAGTCCTGTGTCCTATGGCAGTTCGGGCCATTGGCACACAGGAAGCTGTAAGAGAACGAAGCCACCTGTAAAGGTGCCGTCTGACACCCGAAACTTCAAACTGCCAAGAGAGCGTGCCTGGATAGGGTTCACGGTTTTCGAGGGTTGAGGTTTACTGGGATTCAAGGCTTTAGACGCCTCACAACCCTATAAGAACCCCAACTACAGCCAACTCCCAAACTTCGGATATCATCTTCACCACAAGGAAAAACTCCCAAACTTTGGAAGGATCTGACCCCGGGCCCTGGGTGGTGACCTCGAGGAAAGTACCCGAAGGTGCTCTGCGTCTGGCAGCTCAACGGACTGCTCGCCTGCAGGCTTTGGAATGTAGGGACATGATCATTATGGTATCGTTATGGTATCACGATAGTGTCATAATCGTATCATTATGGTATCATTATGGTATGATTATAGTATCAATACGGTATCATTATGGTATAATTATGGTAGGGACTGAAATGGCATCCTGAGATTCTGCTCATGATATTCGCTTTGTTATCGACGAGGGACACGATCATTATCTTAGGGACTGAAATGGCAGACTGCTTAATTATAAGTATTCAAGCATCTATCTTGGACTCTGAGGAGTTTTGCCTGAGGGCTTGAGCTCTGCGGGTCTGTGTTCATTGCCATGGCCCTTGCAAGGGCAGGCAGCTGCCTTGAAGGGGAAGCTTCATTGGGCACAGATGCGCCCCAAGCTCCGAAAGCCCCAAACCCTAAAACCCTAAAAGTCCCAAGCCCCAAAACCGCATAAACCCTAAACCCCTAAACCCCTAACCCCAACCGCAAATCCCGCAATTAGGGCTCTCAGTTTCTCAGGGCTTTAGGGATGGGGCTTGAGGGCTTGCGGGCTGCATAGTGTATTTGCTGAGTGGATCTCTTCAGCATTCAATCCTGATACTAGCCTGCGACTGGCGTCACCACAACCTGTGGCAATGTTTGCGGCAGCCACACGGGCGAGTCCTGCCACTGTACCCGCACGAATCAAACTTCACTCGCACTGGGTTTCTTGAGAGAAAGATTTCTATGTATTCCGCAGGTTGACAGGGTCCAGGGGTTGGTGATCGGATCCCTTGATGTGGCAAAGGCTCTGGAGAGAATCTGTTGGAAAAGCAGAAGGGCACTGGCGCTGCAATAATGCACCTAACTTGGACGCCATTTTGCCGCCACCTTCTCCGATCTCAAACCCTCCGCCCTACCTCACAGAATCTCGGTATCCTGTAATATAACGCGGACACTGCAATGCGTCGTGCTCCCTGGCCTTCGACAGGGACAGCGTGAGGCGGATAGTAGTCGCGTCCGAGCCCAAAGGCATCCCTGAGTTCTCCTCCGGGCTTGGGAGGGTTTGCATTTTTTCGTGGTTTAGGGTTCAGGCTTTCGGCTTAGAACTTGTCAGGGAGGTCTTGCGCGTGCGATTGTATTCCTGAGTCGCTCGGTCCCCACCATGAGCTGAAACCCCTCAGCCCCTCATATCACAACATAATTTATAACGCCGCGGCGCCTTCAGCTGAACGGCCTTCGAGCCTTTTCCGACGGTCGCCTGGACGCTGAAGGGCGTCAGGTTCAGCAGGAACACACCTTGCAAAGCGCAGGACCACAGAGCGAGGAACAGGGAAGAAAGGTCCTCACCTCAGCTTAACAGTGTAGAAGCGCGCCATAAACACCAAGAGAGAGACAGAGAGAGAGAGAGAGAGAGTATGACAGCAGAACGAAACAAAAAAAGGAAAACATTGTCAAAAACTAGCGCGACGCAAGACCGTGATTTGACATGATTTCAACGGGGCGAAGGCCCAAGCTTCACAGCTCCTCTTCACGACTGCGACTGCTGAAGGCATGCATGGCCGGTGCCTCAAAAAGTCCTGCTACCTTGTACAACTGATTCTGATGGACATGCACTGTTTCGCCATACCAAGTCCTGGAACGCATGAATCACGAAGCCCTACAACGCATGGAGCAGAAAGGCTTCAAAAATAAATCGAACCCTGCACCCCTCGATGCTGAATTCCCCAAATCGAAATTTGAAATCCCGAAAACTCCAAGGCCCTAATTCGTAAATCCCCAAACCCGAGGCTCATGAAGCCGTTGTAGAACTGGACCGGTATTTAAAATACCACAATTGATCCATATACCCTAAACCCCTGAACCCCAGCCTCTGGACCCACAACACCTAAACCCCCAAACCCAAACTCAAGGCGCTAAGTCCTAAGGGCAACCTGCCCTGCAACCTCTCACCGGGTGGCCCTTGGCCGCTTCTTTGAGTCTGCCCCCCGGAGCCTTGGCTTTGTTACTAGTATGGTTTAGGGCTGATACTTAGGGTTTAGGGTTTGTGGTTGGGGGGTGTAGAGCTTACAGGTGTTCGGCTCTTATGCCTGTTGTGGCCATAATTCAGGACTGCCCTGCGCTCTGCATGTTCTGCAGATAGGTCATGCATCAGCATGCAAAGCTGCCACACAAGATAAGGAATAAACTCGAAGCCTCAAACCTCGCGGACCCGCAGAGCATGAAACGGAAGCAACCCAAACCGTCAAGATTGCAACAAAGCGGCCAAGCGCCGTCCATAGATCGATGCCAGGTCACGGAGGCGCGCGAGGTCGTAACTCCAAACAGGGATGACTGGGAAAGGGTTTGCGGTGCAGAAGCCATGGCTTTAAGAGGGAGGACTGAAAACAAGAGTTCAGGAGCGACTCGCGGCCAGAAGGACAAGTCACGTATTCATAACACGGTGAACTCGACTTTCTTGTCAGAGATCAGAGTACTGCTGCGCCTTCTGAAGCAAGAAAGCACTTCATGAGCGGCGACACTACTACCAGCAACGGCAACGCCAACAGTAGAAGTACCAACTGCGACTTGAAGTATCGATGCAGCGATTTCAAAGAGACAAGTTACCATGTTCAGTATATCCATACAACGACTTGACTTGAAAGGCGATGGCAGAAACGAAACATGATGAAACTGATGCTCTGAGCTTCCGAACAGTGTACCGACAACAAGAAGCAGAAAGAGAAGAAGCGAAAGAACAATGCAAAACAATAGCGCTTCAATAGTGGCACTCGCCAGCCTCAGCACGTCGGAATCTGATGACATGACTGCCGCAGCGTGCGAGACGGCAACCATTGTCTTCACGTCAGTTTCGCGTGCATCCTCGCGGCAACATATAGAAGCCTAGCCTAGCAAAGCACAACTTTCCGGATAGATAACCACCTGTCTTGACCTATCTTGAAGAAATTGATTTACAAGTTTAGGACAGGGGAAGTCGACATAGCGAGGGTCTCCAAAGATCAGGTTTGATCGTTGCTCTTGACTTGATCAAAAGACCAGCGCCCCCAACACAGCGTGGATGCGCTGCAGCTTGCAAAGCTGCTGTCTGGATACTCTTCTGCCCCGGGCGCAGCTAAACTGCCTTCAGAAGTCGCCTAAGGTCTGTAACACATCATCATCATCATCATCATCATCATCATCATCAAACACACCTGTCGTTGCAAGTCAAGAACACACCTTCTGCCCTTTGCTTGATACCACAGCGGGAAGATTGCAGCCGTCACGTCACGGGAAACGAGACGTCATGGCCGGCATGGTCGACCAGAACATGGTCTTCGCTTCCCCTGCCGAAAATGCAAACAAGAAACACCTCCATTGGGTGCAAAATCTCAGACCATGGTGAAAGCACTGAACCCCATGAGCTGTCCTTGGAGAGCCAGCCTAACCAGGCTCGCACGCTCCACTCCGTGGGAAATCGCCTGCATGGCCAATGGTTCGCAGAGAACTGAAGCTTTCATACCATAGGATTGGCCATGTAGCCACCGCAAGCCATAGCCATAGTCTCTCTTACTTTCACCTCACCTCGAACCTCCAGTACTACCACCATAGCATCCTCGAAGAAGCCCTGATTTCTGAAGTCTGGAACAGCCTTCCGCACTGAAAGCCTCTCAACAGTGAGGCCTCACGGTTCCCTCTGTGAGCTCCCGGATAGTCGGCGCCCTGCCGGGGCGAGGGCGGTTAGGGCTTGGAGTAGCTGAGGGCTCGGCGCAGAAAAGTCTATGAGAGTTTGCGCACGTAGAGGCTAAATCAAAAGCATCAAGTGTCTGCAATTAGTTGGGAGCTGCCTGGGGATGAGCAGCCTAGGGCTGAAGGTGGGGATTTCGGACAGTGACCGAGACACCCGGTCCGTCCCTGGGGCCTGAGCGCCTCCTCCTGTACCAAGCGTGCCTGACGGGTCCTTGGTGGACGATGCCAGCTAGTCTGCTGGCCCGCATCCCCACTGATATCGGCTTGCGAAAGATAGAGGTGTATTGAAGATAACGAAGCAGAAGCGGAAGCAGAAGGAAAAGCTTGGATCCTATAAGCACTGTTTGGAAATTGCTAGGCTTGAATGGCGCTAACAGCAGGTCCGGTCTTCGATACGTCTTCGATAGTTACACCTGACAGAAATGCCAAGCATCATTTCGGCGATGCTGGTGGCAGCCTGCAAAGGATGCTGTGAAATCCCATTGGCGAAAGCGGCACTGGCTACTGCCATCATTTTCGGGAGTTGCTCGGAGAGTCTGCTGGATTGCTTGCATGGGTTTCCCCCTGAGGCGCTGCCACATCGCTCGACCCTGAGAGCCTCCTGTGTAACGGCGTTCTCTGTGACGTCCAGCGCCGTGAGTCGCCAATTACCTATCCGAACAGCTTCTTGCTATTCCGGCTCACGGGGTTTTAGGATTTCGCTGTTTCTTCATAGGATTTGAAATTTAAAGAGTTTATAGGAGGGTTGGGCTGAGTGGCCAAGGAAGGGCCTTCCGCCCGAGTGCCGTCATGATGGGAGGGGATTTGCTTAGATGCAGCTCAAGCCGTTGCTTTGAAGTGCTTCGGGGATTTGGGGGTGTAGGGACTCTCGACGAAACCCGACATTTCGCTGCTCGCGCCTCGCAGAGCCTGTACCAAGGCCGAGCCCCCTGCAGGCGTGAGGTTCTGCAGGTTGTGTTGAAGCTGCAAGAAATAGGTCCGGGTTTCGGATGCCCTTCACCATTCTGTAGGGTCTTCTCATGCAGATGGTATCTGACATGACTACATCAACACTCCCGACCCACGCCAAAAAGGTAGGCTTTGCAGTAAAGCTTGTGCTGTGAGCCTGTGTGCTACAAAAAGGGGTCGCTGGATGAGCTACCATACTGTCGGCTCCCTCACCAACTCAAGTACGAACCCAATCCCCGAAAGCCTGAGCTACCTGCAAGGCGCATCATGATATTGGAACACGCCGGCTTGAGCATTGAATCATGTGGAATAGAAGAGAATGGTAGTACGTCTCTGCCCTTGAAGACCACCGGCAGCAGAAGTCTCCCTCAAAACACCTAACTCCCCGTGGGTGCCCTGGTGCTCACACCGATGCCTGCGCTGCCAACCCCATTGCTTCGCAGAGAGAGCTCCTGTGAGGGCTACTGAGAGTTCGACTCTGTAGACATGTCATAATTCTTGCAGAATATGCAAAGGTGGAATTGTCATCGTACTCGACACACGTGACCGAGCATTGCAATCTGCTTGAGACTGCTGAAGCCCCAAAGCGCCAAACCGCCGAAAGTTGCGCCTGGAGTCCGCAGTTCTTTGAAATCGCGGCTGCGAGAGCCGACGCACCTGCGTCCTGTCGGGCATGGATGGAAACATCTGAAAGCCCAGAGAGGCTATAATCAAATATCTGTCTCCAAAGCAAGGGATAAGGGAGAACGATTCAATTTATCAGTTCTCGAACTACCTCGAACTCTGCCTGCAGCCGCAAAGCCGAAACCCATAAACCCCTAAACCCTGTCGGGCTTAAGGGTTTACAAACCCCAAACCTAGACCCCGAAAACCACCCAACAACAGGAAGAAAAACCCAAGACTCTGCAAATAGAAACCCAAGAAAATACCCCCAAAGCCCCAACGGAAAGACCATGTCATCGGGCTCCCGCAGCTCGTTGCCCTGGAGGCCCAGACGCCGCAAAGAGCCATGCGAGCGAAGCGCAGCCGCCACAGCCACGGCGCCTTCGTGGAGATTCAGGGGCGTGTTAGGTTTTGGGGCCTTTAGGGTTTGGGGGTGTGGGGTTTATATTAGGGCCGTTTCAGGTATTTGGGGTTTGGGGCCTGGGGTTTACGGTTTGCGCAACATAAATGTGTCGAGTGCTCGGTGCTTGCGACATGCAGTTGACATGGATGATCAGACTGTGGAAGGCCATCCCCCGAAAGCACTCACGCAGCAAACACTACTACCAACATAGGGGCCTTAATAATTGGAACAGGGTTTTGGGTACATTATACCCCACCATATTAGGGAACCCCCACAATAGACTTGGTCATCCTATATTTCCCTATATACCCCATATTACCCTACATTGCCTATATTACCCTCCTCTAAAAACAATGCAGCGGCAAAGTCCCTGCAGATCTCTGCGGGCCAAGCGACCTTCAGCCCTCACCTGCTCCATTCAGGGGTTGAGGGTTTACGGTTTAGGGGTTTAGGGCCTAGGGTTTAGGGGTCTAGGGTTCAGGGTTCAGGGTTTAAGGTTCGGGGCTGAGGATGCGGGGCACGATCGGTTGGGGCTTGGAGCGGAGGATTTATGCAATGCTTGAATTTGCAACATGAATGCTTATGGTCTTCACTATCGCCTTGAGTAGAACTCAATATCCATGCAGAAGAACCTGTCTTACAGCGTTAAGCTGCCCAGCTCAGTGGCCATCACGAATCTCCAAACCATGGAGATGCAGTAAGCCTAGCGACCCTTCAGATACAGAAACAGCTTCTCAAGAACCTCACCATCATCCTCGAAATCCAACACTCGATACATCCTCTCCTTCCCGAAGCAATGCAAATTATGAAGCCCCAGCCTTTCGGATTGCCACTCAGCCATGACAAATTCCCGGCACTGAAGCCCTCACATCGAAACTGTAATCCCCGAAGAAAGGACTACTGTAGGGTCACACAAACCGGAGGCTCTGAAGCTCTTAGATAGTGCAAATTATGTTAAGACACCAACAACAGCCCCTCCTTAGACCTTGCACTACCTACCATCTCCCCGAGGCCTGGTTGAAAGCCAGCTCTAGTTCATGAAGCCTGGCAATGGTGCTGTAGGGCTTTCCGGGCATCTTGAGGAAACCTAGTGGGTCATGGCAGGGCCTTTCCTGTGGTTGAATCAAGGAGTATGCAGGCGGCTTCCCATGGTATCATCAAAGGAATACTGCACTGGAGCTTGGAAACTTCCACGTCATGTCCAGGGCATGAAGGCCTGGGCTGCCTGGCCTAGGATGCAAACCTTAAGCCTTAAGCCATGAAGTCCCTGGCAACTACTACGCCATTGTGCGGCACGACGGAACAGCGGTCAATCGATTCAAGAGGCATGGTGTGGCTGCTATGACTTCGGGCGGAACGATGTTGAAGCGTTCCAGCCGTTGGGGATCAAGAGGATTCGCAAGTTTCCGAATGCGACCACGGCAGTCAGAGTCAGAGTCAACGTGGTTCCAACCCTTGGAAGTTTCGATGCTTCTACCCTGGACCCTAAACCCTAGTTAAACTTTCCGTGCTTGTGGAAGTGTCCACACCGGGTTGTAACCTTTTCGTGCCTCCCGGCGCCAGAGACCAGCGCAGCTGCACCCAAGTCTCCCACGGCATTGTCCTCCAGCCGCAGGACCTCTCGGAAAACGGGAATATTCTGTCCACAGGTGCCCGCGTGCGCACGCACAGACAGACGGACAGACAGACACACAGACAGACACGACGAACGGACGGAAGGACGGACGGACAAACGGACAGGCCTGTAAAACGTACCTAATTACGTAGTATGACCGATCAAGGACAGGCTCACGCATGTCGATTACTCCAGTGGCAAGATCCATCATCCATCCATGTATGCATGAGGTCATTCATTTTGTTCCATGGACTGACCATCAGCTCGTCCAGCCATGTCATAGGTCGCCTCGCATTGCATACAGACCTTCATCAGGTCGTGGCTATGGCAAACTCACCAGGGTGGCAGTCTGTCCCAGTGCAGTTTAGCATTTGGACTGGAATTTACGACTTCATGCTCGGAGAAAAGCCAGACTGAGACTCTACCTTTAGTTCAGTCTCAAGCCCATTTTCTGTGCGAACACTTACGAGCCATCGCAGGTCAACCACCTTCGCATCAGGTCTAGCATCCGATTCCGGGCACCTTGAGTGTTGTGTTGCTCGTCAGCGCGTGCGCCAGGGCCTGCAGTGGGAACCATGTTATGTCACGTCATGAGATGTCACGTCATGCAATGTCATGTCATACTATGTAGATGACCCTGCACTGTTGTAAGTACTTGTCAGAACTACTTAGTTACTTACATGAAGATGGCATGTTATAGGACTACATGTTTGGTACACTTCCACCTACACAAGCAAACAGCATAGCACGGCATGCTCGAGCACGATACGACACAACAAATCTAAGCTAATCTGTGCATGTATAAACAGGACAGCCCCTACATTAATTTGTGGGTCTCCTGCCCGCATGTATGATGTGCCCTGAATTCCTGCTTCTGTTGTGTCCTACTATGAGATAACACGTTATGTTGTGTCATATATATATATATATATGATATTGTAACAGCCGGGACTGTCATGGGGCCTGGGTTTCATGCATAAGTTCATGCGCGCATAGCAAAATTCTATATGAGACCAAGAAACACAGTTCTCCAAAAACCCAGGCCCTATGGCAGGCCGCTCTCTATTGTGATACCTTATGATTTGTGCCATTGTACTATGTTATACTATAACCTGTCATGTGATATTTTGCGAAGTTGTATGTTTTTCTGTTCTGCTGATATATTCCACTACCATAGAACAAAACTTTCGTCTGTTGTATGATATAGCATTCGCTCATACAGAGCTATTTGGTACAACATCATATGATAATATACTATACTGCACTGCACTATGCAAATATGTATCTATATATATATATAACACATGATATAATATCATACAATGCAATGTGGCATCATGCAATCTGAAGTAATATGAAATGATATGATATAGCACGCGATGATATGATTCACATAACGTAACGTTATATATCATGATATGGCACAGCATAATATTTTAAAACATCTATGTAAATACTCTAAAATATCTATGTGCGTGTATACATCTACATAACCGTACAAAGGCCAAATGGTGTCACCACAAATACTTTGTTGCGGCCTTTGCGTTTAGACTTTGTTGTGGGGTCTGTTACTGATACTGTACCTGGTTACAAGGAACCCGAAGTGAGGAATCGCATTCCTACTTATTCTGGGCTCTACATTAACTTCTCTCTCACACTCTCCCTGTCTCTCTCCCCCTCTCTCTCACGCTCTCTCTCTCTCTCTCTCTCTCCCTCCCTCCCTATCTCTCTCCCTCGCTCTACCCTTAGGATTTGGAAGAACATTGGCTTCCACGACGAGGGCCTCGGCTCCTTCAGAGCCAATGCGGTTGTAGCCAAGATCCAGCCATGTCAGGGCCCTGAGTCTAGGCGGGGTTTCAGGTTGGGGGGGGCCTTTTGGGCTCCAGAGTTTGAGAATTTAGGGTTTAGAGGGTGTAGGGCCTTAGGGCTCCAGCGTTTGAAAGTTTCGCACCTAATAAGGGCTTCGAGGATCTGGGGGGCTTGCGCCGATGGATTATCGCGCGTACACGGGTGGGACCTGGTGAACAGGGTTCAGGCAGAGGGGGTTCGCGTGGAAGATGCCGATCTGGGCAGACCTCAAAACAAAATTTGATGTTGTGAAGCAGTTGCCGACAGCTTCTATGAGGAACTATAAGCTTGCCCCGCTGTTCGAGGGCTGTGCCGAGGATACTATTACTAATACTAATACTAATACCGTTGGTTTCTGAGGTCGTTCCCTCCTTGGCTTCCCTTCATAGAACCCGGCGCAGGCACGAGCATCGAATCAGGAGTTGCACGACTTTTAGACATTGCTCACAGACGTCGCGGCGTGATTACAGCGTGCTATTGCAAAAACATTCCCCATTTAGCATGTCGGCATGCTTAGGCATGCAGCAACAAAAGGCAAACCCATAAACCCTGCAAAGCCACACCTTACGGCCCAGCGACTTTTCATACAACCCAGTCGATCCTATTGTCAATCTTTCTGCTCACCCCAGCCCAGACCTTTTCAATATATGTCCAAACATCTGTGGAAGTTGCAATAACGCACGCTTGTGCTTTTCAAGATGTAGATGGTATGGTATACATACATAAACAGCACATGCTCACATACCTACTCCGTGTTAGTTCAACTTCCTGATCCGAACATACCTAGCAGTGCTTCCTCGTAGCTCGGAAGTCACATTATGAACGCTGCCTTCTACACAACCACCTGAGATGGTTTTACCCTAAACCGAACCCGAAACCCCGAAACCCAACCTTAAGTCCAAAATCCAAACCCACCCCCTCCAACCACCCCCTTCCCTAAACCCTAAAAGAACTTTCAAAAACAGACGGGAGCGCCCCCAAATCTGCCCGGGCGGCGTGTTCGCGCCGAGCGCCTCCGCCAGAGCAAGGGCCCCCTCACGGCCGATGGAGTTCATCCCTAAGTCCTCGGAGTCACAGAAGGGTCCCTATAAGGCTTACTATAACGGCCTGTACGGTTACTATCGATCCCGACATTTGAATTCGTCCCTATGAAATTAGCAAGATTTGGTTCGGTGTATATAAGGTCACTGTAATAAGGGCTGTTATAAAAAAAAAAAAAAGGCAGGTTGCTGCTAGGGTTTAGTTTAGGGCTCAGGACTGATTATCGTGTCTTATAGCGAGTTGTTCATCAGGGTTTCGTCCAGCTTCCTTGATAACAGGGGCTTTATCGAGTTTTATAGGGTCGAACATAAAAGTTTCGTGAATCTTTGCTGAGAGTTCTATATGGCTTGTTCTCAGGGTTTCGATAAGGTTTCTATGCAGCTGAGCGGCCGTATGGTACAGTAGTATTACAAGAGGTCCAACAAGGATTCTACAAGGGCTTAGGGTTTCGGGTGGAGGGTTTCGGGTGGGAACAACAAAAGCTGCCAATATGAAAGAATCAATGTGACAGGAGTAAGACCAGAAGAAGCACCAGGATTTTGGGTGTTGGGTTAGCAGGTCACTTGCTTTTGGGTGCAGCTTTGGCAAACAGCTTCTCTTTCTTGTGCACGGGCAGTAGGTTCGAAGTTCTCACGGCCTAGAGTATCATGCCTCCGGCAAAGTTTGGCGGCTTGAACGTTTCTGCATCTCCGGGTTGCGGGTGTTTAGCTACAGGCATCATAATACTGGCTTGATGTCATTGACAGTCGTATCATGTTGATCAACATCGTCACCCCGTCATAGTGATCACAATCTCCTTCATCGTCCTCGCAATTTAATCCTCGCCCCCATCACCATCGGCTCTGCCATCATCAGCCATACCATCATCGTTATAACAGCAGCCAGCATCACCAGTGCCAGCATCAGCAGCAGCATCATCGCCATCGCTAGCATGATGATGATGACGATCCCCATCATCATCATCATCATCATGATCATCATCATCATCATCATGTCCTCTGTAACCTGCTTGGCTGCTGTCATTACGCACTAGTGTTGTGTTTGTCGTTCACTGCCATCGTTGCAATTGTACGAAGTGCTCCCCAACTCCCAAACCACATTTTAGACACGTGTCATGTTTATCATACACGGCTTCGACAACACAGCTGCCGTCGATGCTGGCTTATGCTCCATCGAAATCCCCAATTGCATGCTAGTCTTGTATTGCTACGAAATCGATACGTAGTACTAATCCTCAGCATCACTCTCTGAACGTCGTTAAGCTCTCTGTTGTCACTATGTGGGATTCCCAGCCTTCTTATTCTTGCGTTTTTCATGCTGCTGCTGCTGCTGCTGCTGCTGCTGCTGCTGGTGCCAGGGAGTTGTAGTTAAAGGATCCCGAGGGCCGACACCCTGTCCTCGCACGAAGACTACATACTGAGACACCTTAGACAGAGACAAAGACACCAAGGCCTCCCATCCCAATGCCCTCTTGGCATGCAAGACAGAAACATGGAACAAAGCCGACAACTGCAACCTAGAAGCGAGGTGTTGAAGCGTGGTGCTGACACGAAGAAGGACCTGCAAGGCAGGCTCGCACCGAAACCGATTCGGACACATCCGGCAACCTGCCAAGAAGTTTTCTGGCCCGAGGACCGCTCACTTGTGTTACAACCCGAAAGCTCACTTGTCCTACACAACCTTTTTGACCTGATCCTCCAAACACTCCAACTTTGGGAAATCGGATGTTCGACCGTTGCAGCGCAGTGGTCATTCCAGAACTTGTCTAATAACAATCTAGATGTGCTGTAACTCCAACCCTTGCAGCCTGCAGCTGCTGTAAGTAACTGCATATACCTATGCAGACACCCCTACTTGACCGAAGGGGAAGACCCCAAAGGCGTGTTGGGAGCATCGCACCTGGTTGGGTTTGGGAGCGGAACAGTGAGCCGAAAGCAACCAGTGGTATAACAACATAGTCCACAAACATTGCATTATTATCAGAACACCAACCGATACTGTCAAACCCGTCGCAGTCTAGTAGTGTAGAGTGTCTGTGTCCTGGCGCACACACACACCAAACACAAGCAAACACGCACACATATGTATATATGTGTATATATATGTATATATATATACATATATATATATATATATATATGTGTGTGTGTATGTATGTATGTGTGTATATATATATATATATATATATGTAAGTATGTATGTATGTATGTATGTGTGTATGTATGTATGTATGTATGTATACCCACATACTAGGTAGCTATAAATATGAGTGAATATATATATATATATATATATATATATATATGTACGTATATGTATATATATATACATATACGTATACATATATATATATATATATATATACACATATGTATATGTATATGCGTGCACATCAAGAATATCTAATTGCATATATACAGAAAGGTAGAGATAAGGACGGAGATAGAGACATAGATACGGATATAGGTCTAGGTATGGATTTAGATTTAGATTCAGATATAGATCTAGATATACAAATACGAATACACACGTGTGCGTAAGTACACGTGTGTGTGTGTGTGAAAAATGTATGTATGTGTGTGTATATATATATATATGTATGTCTATAGACAGATACATATACTAATATGTCTGTATGGATATACGTATGCGCAGATGCACACACTCGCTGAGGCTGCCGAGGCATCCATTCAAGTCTTTTTCAATGATGACCTTCAGAAACTGAGTCAAAGCCCCCAAGTCTCGGGAACACGTGCACTGGAGCCCTAAAGGCACATTTGCCCTGGAGTCGCGGCAAAAACAAATCTTGAACCTGAGCTCCAGGAACCAACCCTCAACTGTGCAAGAGCCACGGAATCCTCAAGAACGATTCTCCCTCCCCCTGCTCCCTGAAAGAATCCGCCTTCTGCGACACGAACTTGCATCCCTCCAGGGGGTTCGCTGTAAGACAGGGACTGGTGGCTTCGGGCTCGGGAGCCTAAGCCCAAGCTTTTCGCTGTTTCAGAGGCTGGCGGATCATGGCTTCGGCTTCATAGGGCTGGAGCACCCGGGTCGTGCGCTATAGGTTCCAGGCTTCCAGCACATTTTAGTATGCCCGACACCTGCATCCGCTGAAATGACAGACAAGCATGCTCGCGGTGAGCTCTGAAAGGGTAGCTTTAGCAAAGGCGGAGACGGACACGATCTTCTCTCAAGGCTGGCTAGAAAAAACCATCCACAGGCATGCTGCCAAGCTCAACCAGCCGAAACTCATGTTTATCATTGGCAGATCCCATCAAGCAGCAGAAAAAGTAGAACAGGATTCCCTACGACGATGAGTGTGCAGGAACCACGAACCCCTCCTCGTCCCCAAGCTGGTTGATTTCCAGGTCCAGGCGCTTGAGGCCTACAGCTGCGGCGCAGTTGTTGAACAGCTCTGGGCTCAAGCTTCAAGAAATGTTCGGTGTGTAGGGGCCGAAAAACCTTCTAGGCAAACAAGCCAATGCCAGCGCTCGAAAAACAAAACGAAGTTCCAGAGTATAACTCTGAAACCTTCAATTCAGCCAAACCTGCCAAAGGGCCGGTGGCTAATGATGCCGCCGCGCAGGCCCCCCTGGCGGTCATGGCATTTGCGCCTAGCCTCAGATGTGCAAGTCCAAAGCTCAGGTGGCAAGTCATTCATGTCCTACAGAACTGACTCGACCCGGCAAAAAAGAACGCACAGAACCCCTGTTCAATCCTCATTGCGTCGTTGCCCAGCCGCGACAGCTGCCGCAGCCCGGAGGGTCGAGCTATAGAGGCAGCCAGTGCCTTAGAGGGTGTCCGATTTGGGAGTTAGGGCTTCGGGTATGTATGCTACTTTTCTCTGATACATGAATTTAATTTAATTGAATGTACTTTAATGGCAAGATGAAGCAAACGTCTACTCAAGCTACTGCACACGGAGACACTCGTCAATAGTCAGCCCCTAACGTGAGAACTTAGCAATAACAGCAAGCACCGACGATGTGCGAACACCCCCGGCCAATGCATCTGGACCCTGTAGATCAACAAAGACTGCTTGAATCGGTCCTCGGCAGCGCTTCTTTACTTACGGACACTTCAACGGAACCCGGAACCATGAACTACTGGAGATGGGCATTTCCGAAAGCTTTGGTAGACAGGGTTGGGCCGGTCCGGGGTAAGGAACACACAAAGCACCCAAGATCCCCCCAACTCTCCGCAGACCGCTGCCTCCACACCCAGTGCCCCGAGCTCGCAGTAGCACAGATCCAGGCCTCGGTTAAGAAAACGAAACATGGGTTAAATTCATCTAAACCACACTTCAATGTACCTGAGTACTGTCTCGCTGCGCGACTCTGGGTAGTAGGTTAGTAGGTAGTAGGAGCTGCGAAAGCGAAGTGTCGAAAGCATGGACAGGCATGTGACTGGCTTTATAGGGCTTTGTATAATTTGTTTGTTGAACATCAGCCCTGTCCGTCTATCCAAAACCTAGGAACCTACCCCCAAACCCTGAGAGCTAACCCGAACTCGTAAACTTTAAACAACGACCTAAACCTCTCGGAGGACTTAACCGATTGATGTCAAGTCTTGAACCTCTGACTCTGGCGCTGAAAGTACAAGAGACCCACAGAGCTTATAAGCCTTGCCTAGTCCACGGACCCACATGGCGCAAGATCGCAATTGAAATTCCTCTTGCTATCACTACTCTCGCCCCCATGATCACCGCCATCACCACCATCATCAGTGCTAACATCATCAACGTCAGAATCCACACTTTCGCTTTCACAACAGCGACCATTACCATCACCGTCGCCATCGCCTTCCAAATATTCACTGCTAATCGCAAGGAGCATCCATTTCGCTCATATCATCGTAACGGATTCGTAACGATTGTCATCGAGTCACCTCCTTCTCACCAGCAACATGACCTTCACGTACTATCGTCGTCTACCATCACCATTACCCCTTTCATCAAAATCTCCTTTGGATGTCCCAGGCACTCCGCACTGTGCCGCGCTCGACAAGCCGCTGGCCCAGCGACGCCGCCACATCGGCGGCCAGTGCGGTGAAGTTGCATCGGATGACTTCCTGGCCTCCCAGGAAGCGAAAAGTTGCACTATCTGCTTTGCACCGCCACACCGAAACAACTCCGAGATATTGCCATCACAAGTTTCAAGCAGATCGAGACACTTTGCCTGAGTCCACCAACGCCAGGAGGGCGCTGCTGCTGAGGGCAGACTTTGCCTGACAAAGCATCAAACAAGCGAAACTTCTCTTCCTTTCCTGGAGGCTCGCAAGTCCTTTACATGACCCGGGAAGAACTGGAAGAACCAGCACTCAAAAAGAAGCAGGCCGGAAGAAAGAGGAAAAGCTGGAGCTGCAGCAGAAGACGAGAAGGCGTTAGCAAGTACGATTTGAGGAACCTACTGCTGCCATGGCAGTAACTGCCAAGCAACTTCGCCGAAGCTCCCGATTGATAAAGATCCCGGAGTTTTCTCGACTGCCTTCAGCGTATCTCCACCCCATCCAGCATGGCCCATGGCTCTGGAATCTGCAGCCAACCGGCTGTAAAAAGGCCTGTGCGCCCTCATGGGGGTTGTTGCTGATCTCTGTTCGCAGGATGGCGAGGTAGGCGGGAGGAGGGTGGAAACAGAAAACATAAAATATGTGGTAGGTCTCTGAACCTCCGTATTGACTTGAAACTTCATAGGCGCAGCTACTATAAATGCCTGGTAAGCAATTCGCGGAAACATCAGATCAGGATTGCAGACGCAGATAGACTCGGGATTAGTGGTGATTCTTTTGTGGCACAAATACAACCCCGCCAAATCCGTTGAGACGTGCATCCACACACCTGATACTTCTATCTCAGTTGAACCTTTGTGTGTGTATTTTTGGCATGTATATACACACAGATCCATCCATTCATTCATCCATCCATCCATACGTACATACATATACATACGTACGTACATACATACCTGCGTACATACATGCATACATCTCTATGTCCATCCATCCATCCATCCATCCATCCAGCCAGCCAGCCGGCCGGCCAGCCAGCCATCCATCCGTGTGCATCCATGCGTCCGTCCGTCCATACATACATACCTACCTACGTGCATACATACGTAACTACATACATACTTGTTAACCCACGTATTTAATTCAATCTGCTGTTGAATCATTTTGGTAACCCGCTGTTGCTTAAGATGTTATGTGTGCATGTTTACATGTGTGTCTATTACTGAATCTGCACGGGTGCTTGCTTACATGCTTGTCGTTTGCATTTCTATACAAGTATGTGCGCAGACAAAGAGAGCGAGAGGCAGAAACCCATATGCAGCATTTGTGTTTTACCGCTGCTGTACAAGCCTGATGTTGTACTTACAGGAAGACTAGGATGATCAGGATGATAGGTACATACACACAAGCACACCAGTGCGTGCATGCATGTGCGACGTGTTGTGGCTGCGTGCTCGGCTGCGGTGCAATGTCATGATGTATGTTGTCTCAAAGCCCATGCAGGAAACGATGAACAGCACACGAACGATGTCGTCCGAACTCTCCGAGACCCGAAACCCTCGACCCGAAACCCAAACCCAGAGTCTGGCAGACGAGGGTTTAGGGCCTCTCATTAGAACAGCGGGTTTACCGTAGCAGCTTGCGTCTTGGATCTATTCTCATTCATCACACCCAGCTAGCATTGTAGTTCAAGGGGGGTGCATGGCTGCTTTAGGTCTCCAAGCTGGTCATGGGCCCGAAGGGATCCTTGAAGTGAAGCTCAAACGCAGCGCAGGAACTACCTAAACACCAACGACGCAACGCAGCACCTCCCCGTCTCCAGGTCCCACAGCCTGACACTCTACAGTCACGTGCAAACATTTCCCATGCTGCTCAACATCGGGCCGCACAGTCCGCGAACTTTGAATATCAGTTGAATATCACAAGCCCAAGTAGCCTGAACAAAGAAGCTCTTGTTTTGAGGCTGCAGTTTGTAATGCCAAGACAGGAATTGCAGAAAAGTGCCACTGAACAGCATGTACACTGTTGGAATTTGGAATATGCCGTTGTATAGCATTGCGGCACTGTGGTGTTGGCTTGCAGGGTGCGCTATCCTTCTTGCTAATACGGCTGCAGTAGTACAGCACAGCATCAACAATAACCATTAGTTCACTTACTTTATACTACTTCGCGATGGCGCGGCAGGTTGCCACTAGTACCATGCTCTTCGTTGCTCTGGCGCTGCTGACATCCGTGCTCGTGGACGCATCGCTGCTTGAACCGAAGATGATGTTGCAAAAGCCTTTTGATATTGACGGAAATGCCCGTCTGTATCTACGTTACCGCATTCTTGCCCAGCTTTACAACGGCTTGTGTGATAGCTTGAGCTCTTGTCTACTGTGCATACGCACAGACGAGGATCACACATAGGACAAACCTGTTGTCGTCTGACCGCCTACCTAACAACCCCTCCTTGACAGTCTCTGTGGCACCTGGAGCCTGAAGCGAGACGGTTTGAACGAGACGAGATGCATAGGAATGGTTGAATGCCCATTCCCGCGGAACCATGAATCCTAAACCCAGACCCCAAGCCCTTCCCAACTAAAGTAGCCCAGCACGCTAGTCCAGGATCCGGAAACTCCGATCTTCTGCCGGAAACTCTCAATCAAGAAACACACCAGCCCGAAAGCCTCCAACCCCTAAAACTCTAGCATCGTTATCACTAGTAGGAGCCCGGTACCCTGAATCGATTGCGGATCCAACCTATTGCGGATTCTTTAAAACTCTTGTAGATGTGTCAAGCTTAAGGTTTGGTCAAGTTTACAAGGGTCTACGAATAGCTTTGCCTGGGGCTTCTCTTACACATATGGCACCTTGCTTGAGACAGGACCTCACTCCTCGAGCGCTACATTAGAGTCTCCTTTCTTCTGACACTGCCATATTAAGAGACCAACTGGCAGCCCGGTAAGAAAGCCTTGTAAGCAAGCCCTTGCAGAACGCCGAGAAACACTGTAACGTCCCGGAAAACAGAATTATGTGGCTCCTGACTGAAGGGGTCTATGCAGTTTTGCGGGCTCGGGTGTTGGGTTCGAGGGATCAGGGTCTACAGGGTTCTGTTTCAAGTTTGAAGGTTGTTGCGGATCTACTGGATGAGGTGTGTAAGAAGGTTCTGCCATACGAGCCTTACGGCCATGATGGTGCATCACAGCAAGAGAGCACATATCCCAATGTTACTATGCCCTCGTGTACGAAAAAACGACGTGCGCATGGCCACTCGGCACCTCGGACCTCCTGCCACTGCATCATTGTCAAAGCTTGCAGACAGAAAAAACCCTGATTTTCACAATACCCTGGTCGAAAATCAAAGTACTAAGCTCCCAACATCACAGAGCAGTCCCGCGAGCCAGTGAAGAGTGCCGTGCCGGCCTGCCAAAAAAAAAACTGGCTTTGCTTCGGGCCCTGTGCTCTGGACGGGCTTAGGTGCCAACGGCTTTAGAGGTTTGCAAAACCTGCAAGGAGACCAGACAGCCTCTCAGAAACTGCCCCTGTGCAGATTGCCTGCATCTCGCCGGCCGAGCCCCACTCCTCGTGCAGGACAGCACACGATGCGTGTATGTATGTATGTATGCATGTATGTATGTATGTATGTATGTAAGTACTTATGTATAAAAGCCCAATGTCCGTTCTTCGTAGCCGTGCGATTCTGAACCCATGCGGAGAACTGGAGGCTTGAAGGATCACACATACATACATATATACATGCATGCATACATACATACATACATACGCACATACATTACATTACAATACATACCTACGTACTTGCATGTTTACATACCTACAGACTTACAGACTTACATACATACACACATGATAAAGCGTATTGCTTAATACCTCTTTGGTATACCTCAGCAGCTGCAAAACAGGGCTCATCTCCTTCACCTGAAGGCCAAAGATGCTGGCGTCTGGCGATCCTCGACGATGTCCAGGGCACTGACGGACATGATGTGCCCCTCAAACTGCTGAACCTAAGTTCAGGGCACAAAACCTCGTAAGAGAGAGGCGCCTCATCCCACCACGGTCACTTCAAGGGAGATGCACTCTCGTCGAGTTCCAGTGCCTGAACCCCAAACCCCAAAACCCACGCCCCACACCAAACCCAAACCGTTCCATGATCGCCTTGAACTTCCGAGGCCATGACCGGTTTGGGCGATCCTTCTTTGAGGCCGTCCTGATTCCAAAGTCGCACCGTACCGTCGGCAGACCTTGGTTGTTATGTAGCAACGCTGGATCATAAGACGCGTACTGACCACAAACTTGCTGCTGGCGACCGACTTGCAAGGAGAGCCAGACCTGACGACTCTTTCGCTTGCAGCAGACGCAATATCTCTGGCCTTGTCACTCCGTGGCAAGCCCACGCCTGGCTCCAACTTGGATGCCGCCATGCTGAAGGGATTTGAGTGCATCTGGGGGCATGGCATGCGCCAGGCCCCCTGACGGGGCTGCAGGCAAACGCCCACATAATCCGCCCTGATGGCGCAGTTGGTCAGATTGTTGTTGAAGGGATGCCGCCTCGACACTGTCTGCCTGAGATGGCGCACCCATGCAGCTGGGAATCACAGCGACTTGAGGCTGTGTTTCATGTGCTGCGCTATGTAGGATGCCGTTGTGCGACCAGTCCCGCTCGAGCAGCTTGAGCTGGTATCCCAAGTCCAGGTGCGTGTTGATGTACGCAGCCTTTGTCATGCCGTAGAGGCTGAACATCATGGAAAAAAAGGTGCTGATGTACGACACATGCAAAGCTTGAGAGCTCGATAGTGATGCTGCGTTTTGCAACCACCATGTGGCACACCCCTGCAAGAGAAAGGAAAGCGGCGCTTCAACTGCTTTCTCACGCAGGGTCACGGACAGAAGCACGTCACTGGGGAATCCCCGATGCCAGGATTCACGCACTGCTTGCATCTGCTTGCAGCAGGCATCTCCACCCTCCTCGCAGCCTGCGCACAAGGCGCGATTGCGCCAGCAGCGCTGCCAGAACGATAGCCAGTTGGAGTGTAAACACCACGTAAAAGCTGACGTTCCAGAACTGATAAGCACAGTTGGCATCCAGTCCGAAATCCAGGATGTAGAACACGATGTCCATGCGCAGTAAGAGATGCTCTTTCCATGTGGCATGCACGTCTCCTGTTGCAATCTGGTGCGACCAGCGGTGTGCTTCCGCGGCTATGCGCTGCTGCAAGGCACGGTCTGCTTTGGCAGCACCTGAAAGGTCGCTTGCCCATTTTGGCCTCAAGCAGGCGCAGACGGGGAAAACTATAGCAGCAAGCAAAGGGACCAATTTCAAGACAGCCCACACTGTGGAACAAGACAATGCCACCAGCGGAAGCGGTGACCCGTCAGGCGCTGAACTCCACCACGTATTCCACGACGATTGGGGAAGCATGAAACGAAGGACGTGAGGATGTGGCCATACTAAGAACACTTGTACAACAAAGTTTATGAAGGATCCAAGACGGAGGAAGGCAGACACTGCAATGAAGGTTCTGGCTTGCTGCTGCATCTCAGCGAGGCCGAATGCGGAGAAGTTTACTGGAAATAGCAAATCCAGGGACAGGGCACGCAGTGTTTTAGATGCACTCCGGCGGTCTCAGCTGCAGTTGTTCACGTTCACGAAGACTTCTGCCCGATGCCAAGCCATGACCACCATAATGGCGAGGAGCACAGCGAAAATGCCTTGAACGCCCACGCCAAGCACATGAAGTTACTTGTATTGGGCCTACCTAACAGTAGTAACATGTACTCACCACTTGACGGTCCAAATGCACAAATGCAGGCAACGCCTGTCTGAAACCAAGCTCGGCATCAGTCGAAACACTATACAAGCCCCAGAGCAACGACCCTACAGTATCTTTGCACAATTGGCTTTGTAACATACGTCGCGGAAATCAATGGGTAACCTGGGTAACCTTTGACGGCCCGAGCATGACAGCTCAACCACTCCAAAAAAGTTGTTGAAGCAAAACCAAAACCGACAAAGCAACACACCTTGCTGATGTTGAGTTGCCAGGAGATTCGTAGGCTGACGCCACCAACCATTCCACAGACATCACTTGCGCGAAAATCCAGAACCACACTGCACAAGAGTATGGCTTGCAGTCCTCTGCTAATATTTTGTTGCAAGCCTTCAACCTCCCAATGATCTCAAAGGATCCCATGCCTCGGCAACACTGCAGCGGGTGGATGGTGGGCCACATCGAGGCCGGAATGGCTCCGCACAGTGGCAAAGCATGCTAACTACAGCTGACTTGCTTGCGGGGTGCGATGAAGCTTCAACCGCATCTTGGTTTGTTTTATCGTTTGCCTGTGTTTGGGGACAACCTGCGGCCTACTTCGCACGCAACCCTCCTAGCTTAGGGTCTCCAGATCCCAGCCTACGGCCTTCGCCCTTCTCTGCCGAGTCATGCCAGGATGAGGATGGTTGGCACCGTTCTGGCGGAGTAGCGAAGCCAGAGCGAGTGACTGGGTTGCACCGGGTCCTGCTTTTTCTAAATCCCCAGAAACAGGAGATGTCCCTTTCGAAACCTGAAAGAGTCTCAATTACAGATTTCCCGCAAACGAGCTAACATCCGGGCTTTCATAGTTAGAATACTGTAAGGTTTTGGGCACATTATACTATCGTCATGTTCAGGCACTCGACGGAAAAGCTTTACAAATCCAACCCCTGCAACACCGGGTTTTGCAACCTTTATGAGCAACAATCCCGAACCACGAAACCCCAATATTGCTTCTCAAAAAACTCTGAGAACAGGGCGCGGTCAAAAGAGAGCCTGCAGGGCCCTCCAGGAGCCGATTCACGGCCTTCCTCGGCATTGATGTTTTGCGGCTTTGGGGTTGGGGCGGGTGTCCTTCAAAGGGTTCCGTAGAGTTTAAGGTTCAGGGTTGAGATTGGGGATGATGGTCTGGTTTAGCAAACAGTCCAGCAAGGACTTTTTGATCGGAGAACAGGGGCCAAAGGGGCCCATGCCTTCTGTTCCTTGGGGAACACGAGGAAAGGGTGTTTCGGCAAAAAGTCAGGACACGTCCCAGCGGGAAGCGGGTAGCGGCAGTGACAAATTCAAGTCCGTGCCGGTGTGTTTGCAGGTCGTTAGCAGAGGGGCCAGGGAATCTGAAAAGGTCAAACACCACAGTTCCAATCAATAGTATTACGGTACTGTTCAATGCTACCACCATGTGGTTTGCTGCATACAGGTATTGCTAGACTCAGACTCACTGCAAGCCTTGCCCTCGTTATCACCAGCATGGCTTCTTCGGTGAGTGCACATATCTTTGCCCTTTCAACCGCAAGCTCTGTCGAAGTTCGAGCACACCTGACCCTTGAACCTTCACCCAGACCAGCCCCGTTCTTCGTGCATCATCTGTTCTGACTGCATGCAGCATCAAGTAGACGATTTGTCTTGCCAACAACATCACTACTTGAGCATAACATAACTATGTTCTTAAGACTGGTAGGATCATGACCATCCTCCTCGTTGTTGCAGGCATTGCTGTCGTTGTGCTGCTTCTGCAGATGTACGGTTTTTCGACTTGTTACTATGGTTCGTACGTTTATGTATCAGGCTCTCGTTGGTCCGAAGTGGCTTGCATGCAGACATGCGCGATGCTTAAACCGGCTGCGCAAGTCCAGGCACCGTCAGTTCTGAAAGCAGGATTAGAATTGAGGTTCCAGGGACCGCGCAGGTGACAGCTTGTCGCGGGCTTTCATCCACATATCTGTGCCTTTTGATGCCAAGTGGCTTGTGCGCCCGAAACCTCGACAAGGCACAGGCTACGAGACTGCTCTTTCCATGCGAAAGCAAGCACCAAAATACTGGGCTGGTAGCTTCGACAGTTGTCGCATGGTCTGCCCATCGTACAAGTAGAGCCATCCTGCGGTAACAGTTTTGCTGAGTGCACATGTCAGGTTGGATCTCGGGTCGGGAATGGTCAGGGGTCGGGAGTCCTAGTACCACAACATGTCAAGTGTGCTAGTGAGACTACAAAGGATCCTAGCGTAAACGGCGCCCCAAACTGCAAACCTTAAAGATCTCATAAAGCCTTCATAAAAACCCTCTTCAATCGAATCTTTACAAACCCACGAGATCTGATGCCTGGCCTTCGCCACCGGCCACGGCGAAGTCGCTCGAGGCAAGGCCCGTGATGTGCGGCCTAAGTTGAAAGGGGTGTAGGGTTTACGCCTCCTAGGTGGGGGAGTCGCCGAACTCTGATTGAGGGGTTTTGGGCCGGGGTTTAGGTTTTCTTAGGTCGCGGAGTATGACAACAACTGAAAACACATCTCTGCCAACAGAATCAGAAAGGCAGCCCTGCAGTCGCCACCGTCACTGCACCCTCCCCCCACTCAAGGCTAATTGCAGCAAAGTTAGCAGGGGCGATTACCAGCTATGAAGTAGCGGCAATAAGAAGACAATGCATAGCCACAAACATGGTCCAACAAGAACATGGTGACGATGTCATGACGATTATGACCCTCTCACTGACGCTGATGCTGATGATGGTGATGATCAGGATGACCCAATGATAGTGACAAAATCCCAGGGATCTGAACCACCTTTGCCCGGCACTTTCGAACCCTGTGCCTAAACTCGAAGCCTGGATCCCGAAATCCCTGCAGTGAACGCCCATGAAGTCAAAGCACCATCAAGAAGATCCGGAAGGTGCTGGACGGGCTTAGGCCCGGACACATAGTCGTCCTTCAGGGAGACAGCGGACATTTTCGGAGATGTTGGGGCTGGAGAACTGACGGTAGCAAGGACTTGCACTTCGGGGTAAGCACGCCTTCCCAAAGCGGAGGGCCAAAGCTTGTTTCAGCAAGACTAAGAGCCGCCGAACAGACGAGGCCGCAGTTGAGCATGGCTTGGTCTTAAGAAGCTCAAAAGGGTGTTCCACGTACTATCTTGTCGTGAAAGCTACTTCAGTACCGCGCTTGGGGAATACTGACAAATACCTCCACTTTCCCAACCTGCAAATCGCAAGCCCTGCGCGCACACACACACACACACACACGCACACACACACACACACACACACACCACGGAACTCAATTTCGGCTGCTTTGACATGGCATGACGGTCCAGGGCACTTGCTCGAGCCCAAGCCCGAAGCCCTTGCTCGCCAGCCTGAAGACCTGCGATCCCACGTCCGCACCCATAAACCCCCAATGCCGTGCCAAACAGGTCCTCCGGAAGCTCGGGCGCTGCCTCGACCGGCTTGAAGGAATACTGTTATGCAGTGACATGTAAGCGGCGATTTACAGGATAATCCGTTTTCGAAATGGAGATCCTTGGTAGCATACTACTGGCGCTACCACCACCACCACCACCACCACCACCACCAGAAGTGCTTTGAACATGTGCCTCAGAGCCAACTCAAAATAAGGATGTTGCTTTTACGATGACTGCCTGCTGCTGCTCTACACTGATAGAAAGGTACAACAACAACGATGACCGCGACGTAACATCAATGACAACAGCGGCAACAACGACAACAACAACAACAGACAAGACGACAACTACAACTACAACTACAACTCCTACTAGAACTACTACTCCTCCTACTACTGCGACTAAACCTACTACTCCTACTACTCCTGTACTCCTACTACTCCTAATACTCCTCCTACTAGTACTACTCCTGCTGCTGCTACGTCTACTACTACTACTACTACTACCACTACTACTACAACTACTACTACTACTACTACTACTACGACTACTGCTACTACTACTACTACTACTGCTACTACTACTACTACTACTACTACTGCTACTGCTACTACTACTACTGCTACTACTACTACTGCTACTACTACTGCTACTACTACTACTGCTACTACTACTACTACTACAGTACTACTGCTACTTCTTCTACTACTACTGCTACTACGACTACTACTATGCCACCACCCACGACGACAGCGACCACGACGCCGGCGACGACGGCGACGACGAAGGCGGCGACGACAACGACGAATGTATCTTGTAGTGGTTCCCAGCCAAACGGCTGGTGGTGATTGCGACTCATAGCGGCGTCAACAGGATCTGCAACTTCTGACTCAGACAGAAATACTCTGGCAGAACACTGCAGGCTGAGCTATGCGCACTCATGCTACTCTGAAGCTTCTATCTGCATGAGAGTAATGCTTGCCGCACCCAAAGTTGTATGTCCACCTTGTTCGTCCCACTCGGTTCAATCGGGCAAGCTTGGCTTCCATGATGCCCGAGCTAGCTGCTGATACGCTCTCGGCGACGCCGCCGGCAGCAGCATAAGCATCTGACGCAGCACCTCACGACGGCACCGGCCAACAGGTTCGACATGATGATGGAAACAAGAACTGTGCTCTCACACCCCGGTCGAATGACTCACTGGTATCGCACCTCGAGCTCCAAAACTCTCATCTTACTACTCCGCCCCCGGCATCCTCGCCTTTCTCTGCGCGGCTGGGCTTGCAGCCCATGGCAAGCACCCCCTCAGGAAACCGATCTGGGCGCGGCTATGCACGTGCGTGACCACGGAAGACGTCACGAAGCAATGAGAGTTGCAAGTGTCTTGCATAATCTAAAGCCTGAAAGTCCAGTGGTCCAGGTATCACATGCGATATGGAAGCCAAGCTTACAGCTTTCCAAGTTATTGTAACTGAGAGTTGGCCAGCTTTCAGTGATGCGACTGGCTGTTATCGCTTTCCTACGCGCCACGGCTCAGCTGCGGTTGTGGTCGTTGCCAAGGACGGCCGCTCATCCACACCAGAAAATGTCTGAACACAACTTCTGAAGCATGTAGCACCTGGCACAAATGCAACTGCTTGATACTGTGCTCGGTAACAAGCCCAATACTTAATGATACCAGTAACATTGCTGCCGTAGTAGGTGTGACGGTGCATCATGACCGGCCGATGAAGTCGACACCGCAGTTTTGGATCCGAAAACTACTCTTACTACTACTACTACTACTACTACTACTACTACTACTACTACTACTACTACTACTACTACTACTACTACTACTACTCCTACTCCTACTCCTACTACTACTACTACTACTACTACTACTACTACTACTACTACTACTAAGGCAGGAGCAGGTGGAATGTTCCAATGCTATGGGCTCAAGCGATTCTAGCACAAGACAGCTTCTAGCAACCACAGTCGCTACAACCACTGATACTAACAATGATGGTAGCAGCGGCAATGGTCAGGGCTGTACTGAACTCAAGTGCAGCCAAACCCTGAACTCTCGAGTAACTACCATAGAAAGATAAATTCAATGTAACGGTAGTACTAACCTACCCCTACAGCAACCATAAAACCAAGCCGACCCTGAAGTAACATCAATGCTAACCTGACACTATGTATGGCAAAAGCCGCCTACCCCTGCCCTGCACTAACAACCATGCTATCGTAACCCTGACGTCAAAATAGCTGGAACCTAACTTCAAAGTATCGATAATCAGGATCCACATCAGGGGTCCACGATGCAAAACCTTACAGAAGCCTCAGGTGTTACGAATTCCTCAAGAAAACTTGATACAAATCAAACCCACACCCAAAGGGCCCTAAACGCCCTTATAGACACCCGCTAAAAATCTTCTAACAAATCCTACAGAAACTAGAAGTCTATAACACAGCCCTATAGAACCCTTCTGAACAACCCTATAAGATCCTTATAGTGCCTTATAGCCAACCACCATAAAGCCGGTCTATGAACCCTGTAGAATCCTTTTGCCAACCGTTTCAAACCTTAGATAAAGCCTGAGAACACAGACAGCAAGCAGGGATACAATCAGATGATAAGACCCTATAACCCCGTAATGGCCAGCCATATCCAATCCTGCAAAACCTTTTCAACCCCATAGCAACCCTCAATGATCAGAAGCCCCGTAAAGTCCTTCATGACACCGGCCATGTACGAAACCCTAAACCCTAAGATCTGGGGGCGCTCTGGCACCAGCGTGAACTCGTGGAAAGTCACCGCGGCCTTGAAGTCCTCCAGAAAAAGAAATGCTAAGACTGATTTTATCAGGCTTTGGCATGGCTGTTCTTATTGGGTCTTTGAAGAGGGTCTTCCCGTCTTACCGTTTTCTATAGGGTTATATAAGGTGCTATAGGGTTCCTACTGACAGAAGGGTTCTATACGGGGCTTAAGGGCGCTATCGGGCAAGGCAGTGCAGGGCGGGTCCAAAAATTGTTGATTTTTGGAGCCTGATAGCTCCCTGAACCACTGTACAGGACACCTTCATAGCCAACCTTGGCAAATGGTGTTGCTTGTTCTTCAGGCTTCTGCATTAGCGTACATCCATTCACATCCCTTCACTCGTGCTATGTCGGCCAACTGCAAGTAGATGAATTTCAAAACGCAAAGCAATGGCTACGGCATCCTTCTGCCTACATGCCTTATCGGCCTCAGAGCACTGACTTTAGGCGTCATGGTCAGAAATACAGAGGGCGCTGTTTTGCAGAACTCTCAAGGCTCGGTAACCTATTTACGGCTGACTTGCCAAAAGAAAACGCGAGGACAGATTCATAAAATTATGCCGACAAGCCTTAGGAATGGTTCATGTCATGAGCGACGCCAGAAGCGAAGTTTCCGGCTCAGAACAAGGTATCTTTGACGACTTGCCAGTCCACGCTCCTGGTGCTTGAAGTGATCGCTGGTGGAAGACCTCACCACCGCATGCCGTGCAGGTTTATAGTTTCAGTGTTTCAGCATTAGGTGATCATGGCTTGGGACATTTGGATTCAGTGTAGCCCAAAACCATGTCGGGAACATCGCAAACTGCTACTGCTAAGGTCTTGGCAGCTCCTATACCTCGGACGGCCTACCCCGAAACTCCAACAGAATCGAGTAATCAACAGCCACGATATGCATGATTCTTAAGCAGGCGCATATTACATGCTGTGCTCTGAGACACAAAAATCTTTGAGAGGCCTTTCAATCTAACAAACCTGCCTAAAGATTTTGAAGCAATGCCAAACGCGGCTCTTCTCAGCGAAGTGGAAATGCACTTCCTCAGACGCAGAATGGACTTCACGAGCCAGAAACGCCTGAAACTCGCCAAACCCTGAGTCAACAACCCCAAAGCCCCAAATCCGAAACCCGCCCCCTGCGCTACCCCCGTAGAATCCTGAAACAAATCCTGTTTTCAGGAACCCGTTTCGTAATAATATAGGGGCCTTAAGAGGGTTTTTGTACATATTAACTAAGAAAATAAAAGGAAGCCCCAAAACAATAATTGGTAACTATTTAGATCCTATTTTAACCCATTTTGAGTCGAAAGGCCAGTCCGCGTCCAGCTCCTGCTTCTCGGAATCGGTCACGTCCGAGACAGTGTCGGCCTAGCTGCTTTACTGTATGGGGCCTTAATAATTAGCATAAGGTTTGGGGGCCCATTATACTATAATTATGATAAGGAACCCAAAATAATATTGGTAATTATTTAAGCCCCTATAGTAGGATGCCGCCAGGCTCGGAAGACGGAGCGAAAGAAGGAAGTCTAGGGTCAAGGATTGAGGTTGCAGGTTGTGCCAGTTCCAGTTCATTCTGCGAAGGTTGGGGTTTACACTTGGGATGTTCGCAATATGCATCACCGAGGTAAGGTCGCATTGCCTCATGAAGAGCCAGGACATGGTTGCATCATCACAACCGGAAGGTTAGTGATTGCTAGATCAACGACGGTAAAGCAGCAGGAAAGCCAAGCCAAAAGTGAAAGCTTGATTGCCTGCAACTGTTGGGCTTTGCATTGATAGTTGTCTGGCTAAGCTAAACCAAGAGCCTCCCCAATCCATGCATCAACGCAGGGCCCGCCGTGGGCTGCAACACCCAACATCCGACCTCTTCGGCCTTGGTCCACTCGAAATCTCGAAGCTTCAGAACCCGAAACCCCAAACTCAAAACCTTGCAGCGCGAAAAGCTACACAAGCCTGCTCCAGGAGAGCGATCTCCTCCTTGGTGTAGGCCTGGCTCAGACATGTAGGATTTGGGGTTTACGATGGTTTACGGAACTTTTAGGTTCAGTAAGTGGGTCCGGCAATCTTTGCCACCGTCAACATTCAGCTTAGCAGAACCATTCTTGCAAAGAAAAGTATGGTGTGCAGGTACATTTCGACACTCGACTAGAACTAGTATGTAGAACTTGAGGTCCAAGACGCGGCCTGCAACTGCATTGAGCATAAATCCAGACATCCCCGAAGTAGAAAAACTGCCAGGAAAGAGTCAAGACTGTCGCGGGACCACGGACGAAGTACTCATGGCATGACAGTCGCCCGGCACATGCAGGCATACCGAGCACGCGACCATTCCCTTGTACTGGCCCTTATGGTCGACAGGGATGTAATGAAACCTCAGACGGTCGTGTGGCAAGACTGGGACAGACGGTTTGTACTAAGCGGAAGGGCGGGCTGCTTCGGCCTTCGGCCTGTGGCTATGGATTGTTAGCTGCAGCTGAGGGCCTGCGCGCGGTTACTCTTGAGTTTGCGACTCGGATACCACTACTGGACACCTACTGCACACAAGAAGCAACCCAGGTGTGGCTTCAGCATGCTTCAGTGTTGTCAACGCGCTATCTCATTTATCCATTTCTCGTTGGAGTCCGATTGTCTGGTCATGAACATGGCACTGGTATGTCTTTCACGTGATTGGCTCATCCATGCTCCCATCGATGCTTCGAAATCAATCATTGTGTAACAGCTTGCATCTGATTCGGTATATTTAACGAACAAGAAGTATGTCTGCTGTATCTAGCGGAAACCATTTGTGCGACAGAGCCTTCCGGCACTCTTCGCTGCATTGCAGGTACTTGGGCTACTTGGGTGTAAGCATTCAGAGTCCAGAGCTTGAAGTCGTATCGCACACTGACAGCATCATTGTCAGCATAATAGCGCTGCTGTTGATGTCATCTCTTTCGATATCACATGGCACGGGGTCTTCCATCCTGAGCTCGCAGCTGATCCGTACTGTTGATTTTCTCCTCGCCGAACTTGTCCCAAACACCAATCTTGAGAAACCTGCACCTGCAGCGCGCAAATCCCTCTCCTGACTCGCTAACTCTGTAGCTGCTTGAGGTCCCTCACTCGCCACTTCCCCGTGACAACTCGAGTTTGCAGAAGCAGGCCAGAGCGACGGCAAGTCGTACATCAAAATGTCAAAATTGATCTGAATCAATTCATCCTTGGGCCGCAGCTTTCAGGTTCTGAACTTGGCGACTTACGGCTTCGAGGCTCTCAGGCAAGAGGGCTTACAGAGAACGCATCTCGGGATTCGGCGACAGAACGGTGCGTCAGGCGGAGTGGTTTGGGGAAGGGAAAGACGATACTAATTCGTGCGGCTTCAAGCAGCGGGCACAAGCTGCAACCGAGCATCGTTGTTTTGGTCCATGACGATATTCGTCTGGTAGTTTGTCCTGGTGGGATGATGGCAAGAAGCACCGACTGCAGCCGCCCATAACACAGAGACCGAAAGATAATGTTAAGGGGTAAGGCGTACTCTTCATGCAGGCTACAAGGTGTACATACCGTGTCATAGATTCTGACGGCGATCCACCTCGCATCACAGACTAAGCGTGGCCAAGGAAATTGATGGTTGTTCTGAGAAGTACGACATGCCATAGAACTGGCCGCGCCTAATGAAGGCACCGAGCTCTGCTATGAGCAGAAGCAGGAGCACGGCATAAGCCACCTGGATCACGTTAAGATTAGGTTGCGAATTTTCTGGTGGAGGTAACCCGAAAGCTCCTATAAGGACCACGAGGCTTTCTTCTCTCAGATGAGCAGAGGACTTGATCGTGGGTGCTTGGACAAAGGACTGATGCAGAAGCACACGATGCCTGGGACTTGACTGCTCCAGGTACCACAACATGAGGCAACGACACTGGGACCTCCACACAACATTCAATGTCTCACGGCGCCCCGACGAAGAAGCAAGACTCCCTTTCAAGTTCTCAAGTTATACGACTTACGATTCGCTCACCTCAAAAACCTAGACTGCAAACCCGAACTGCTGAACCGTCCAAAACTCGCGGGCAGAACCCGACCAAAAATCTCACAGGCCCCCGGGCTGCCGTGAAGATGCCCCCGGTGAAGGAACCTTTTGTAAGATCCTGCCAGATTGGCGGCTTCTTGGGCCTTGGCTTCGGGGGCTGGGGAACCTTGGAAGGTTCCGTTCTGTTGACTCATTTTCCGCCGCAGGCAAAAGCCGCAGTGGCGGTGGAAAGATCTTCGACTTAAACCTACGTAGCTAAGCGGGCTTCAAGAAGAAATGCACCTCGTAGGATCAGCAATCAGAAGAATTGCGCCTGGTCTGACTGAGCAGAGCTTGTCTGTATCTCTGTCTATGTCTCGCTGTCCCTCTGTGTGTGTGTGCGTGTATATATACACATATGTATGCACACACACACATATATTTACATATACATATACATATACATATACATATACATATACACATACATATACACATACATATACATATACATATACATATGCAGATACAGATACAGATACATATACATATACATATACATATTCATATACATGTGTATATATATATATATATGTTGTGTGTGTGTATATGTATATATATATACACATATATATAGCGAGAGAGAAAGAGAGACAAAACATTTCATAACAAGTCTCCTACCAACCCCCGCTCCTCCACGGTGTACCTTTCTGTATGCACGTATGTATGTGTATAGAAGACAGATAGGCAGATAGCTGCGCGCATGTACATATATACATAGACAGACAGTTAATTAGTTCCATAGGTAGATAGATAAACAGATAGAAATTCATTCATGTTGGGAGGTAGAGAGGGTAGGGACAGAGATACGACATGTATTCGTACATACAGCGTGCTGCAGTACAGAAAGCACATGACCATAGGCACTCGCGTGTGTGGGACAGACTGAGAAAGACAGAGAGGGACAGAGAGAGAGAGAGAGACAGAGAGAGAGAGTCTGCATATGTGTACGAACACAGCGCAAGTGCCATCATCATCACCACCACCACAATCATCACCGGCATATCGAAAGCCTGATACTCAAGGATTCCTTGCACCGCCGGCACTGTTTTCATGCCGGGCCTCGGAAAGCAGACGCAAAATCTCAAGATCTCCTGCTTCAGTTGCGCACATGAGCGGGGTTTTGTCAAACCTGCCTGACAACTCCTTGTTGGCTCGAGCTTCCAGCAGCAAGGATACAATGTTGGCGTGGCCCTTGTCGCATGCACGGATTAGCGGTGTGTCACCGCGCCCGTCGGCGAAATCCTTCTCAGCACCGGCTTCCACAAGCAAGCGAGCGATCTCGATGTGGCCTGCAGCAGATGCACGGCCAAGAGCGGAGTCACGTGTCGCGTACTTGCCGACACAATCCTTTGCAGCACCGGCTTCCAAAAGAAGGCGAACAATATCAGTGTGGCCTTTTTCAGATGCACACATTAGTGGCGTGTCCTGGTCTGTGTCAACCACATCTGTCTTGGCACGGGCTCCCAACAGCAAGCGCAGCACTTCAACACGGCCATTGACAGAGGCACAGCCCAAGGCTGTGTGGAAGCTGCCTACGACTTCCGCATTGGCCTGAGCTTCCAAGAGCAAACGAACAATCTCGGCGTTGTCACCGTCAATGCATGCCCGAATCAGAGCTGTGTCACCACCCTTAGCACGGAATTCCTTGTTCGCACCAAATTCCAGTAGCAAGCGCACAATCTCGGTGTGGCCTCTTAAGGCTGCACGCTGTAAAGCACTGTCACAAGCCGGGTATCGTCCGACCGCCTCCTTGTTAGCTTTGGACTCCAGCAGGAGCCGGACAACCTCAACCTGACCCTTTTCAGATGCAATAATCAAGGGCGTGTCGCGCCTCCGTTGACGGGCAGCTGCTTCTATGTCGGCACCAGCTGCTAGTAGCATGTGAACGACCTCAACATGACCACAACCTGCAGCAACAGCGAGGGCTGTATTACCTAGCTGGTCCATCAACTCTATGTCAGCCCGAGCTTGCAGGAGAAGCTCGAGAACCCTGACGTTGCCTTCCTTGGCATGGGCCACAAGCTCCTTTGCGATCTCTGATGGTCCAAAGCCCCCTGCCTGCCTTACATCCGAAAGACTACGCAGCATCAGCTGCAATTCGCTGTGGCTCTCTCGCAGCTCGGTCGCATCCTGCAAGACCTGACCATCATGCAAGATCTGCTGAACACAGACGGGGAAGCCGTGCTTGCTCCGCAGATGGACCTTCAATTCCCGAACATTACCTTACTCGTCCAGAATCCCAGCGGAACTAAAAGTTAACCTGTGGGACTATATGCTCTAAACCCCATACCCTAAACCCTGCCTACATCCTCGCAAAGGCTGAATGCCACCTATTCTACTACTAAGACGAAGATACTGAACTCCTCCAGGCTCACAGATGCGAGCTCTTCTCCGGAAAGGCTCCAAACGCGCAGTGCCATGGGAGAAGTAGCACGTACCAGGCTTCTATAGCCTATGATCAGTATATTACAGTACACTATCGCATAATATCGTATTTGTTGCACGTTATCGCATGTCATACTTTGTTGTAGTATACTATGGGCCATGATGGTACTACGAAATTTAAGATTCGTACCAGATATAATAGTCGTACGTGTAGTCTATTACCCAAGTCATGACATCTGGGGCCATGGACTCTGGAGATATGTGGAAGGCCCGGACTCACTTGTCCCCATGATGGAACAACACAACCATTAATATTTAGACAAATACTCACTGAACATGGTACTCCTGCAAGAATCGTAATTGCAGTGGTTTCTGAAGGCTTACAGTATTGTAACCAGAATCAAAAGCTGCTTCCAAGTGCCCCTAGACATGGACGTGTCGGTGTTGTCGGTCATGACGCTGCTGGTTCTCACGAAACATGGCAATGTACTTGAACTGGGGCATGTGTTGCCTGGACGTCGGTGCTAGATGCTCCTATGCTGTATGCTTTATACCCAGGCAACAGAATTCCGCGCGGGTTGGGTTACTAGCTAGCTGTTTAGTTTCTGTTGGAGCAAACCTCGAACGCGTGAGTTCAGGTGCCTGCGTGCCAGGTCTTTGAGGTCGTACTCTGAAACCCTCAAGTCTGCAGGACTCCCACTCTAAACAACCGAAGTCTTTGGTTCGGGCGGCTATGAGTATGATCCTCGGTGTAGACAACACTCGAGCTACAACTACAAGTTACACTGCAACTGCAATTTGCTCAAACGGTAGCAGTGCGTCAGCCGTGGTCGCAGTAATAGTAGCAGTAAAAGTAGAAGTGACGGCGGTAGCAGCAGCAGTCATAGGTAGCAATCAACGGAAGTACGCGCAGAGTATAGCTGATGTCATTGCTGTTGTCTGCGCTGCCTGGTATGTGGCGCTGTCTTCACTCTTACCCTGTCGAACTCCGGAGCCCTTCATCAGCAGTCCCGCGACACCACTCGAAACTGGTCGAGATTCACCAGCGCGCCTGGCACGAAAACAGAGCTTAAGACTTTCGGTAATTGTGCTAGTGTTTTTGTACTGTAAAGTTCAGTGTTTAAAGCTCGGGGTATAGGCTTGGGGTTTGCATTGCATGTCTCTGAGAGGTGCAACTCTATTTCCAACTCGTCACACCTGCTACGATGTTGTGGCAGCGGTGCACCCTTTCTAGATATGTCTTGGTTGGGGTCATCAATGCCTTGGCTTCTACATGACTACTGTAGGTCGGTGGCCTACCAACGACGTTCAGTCTGTGTTTCACGGCTTTCATATGGCAATGGAGCAATGCGCATTCGTGAAATTGCCACGTCGCTTTCGCATAGGCAGGCATGTCTCGATTCTGGCTCCAAGATCAAACAGTCGGGATCACGTGAAAAAGAGCTGGACCTGGCATGGGACAGAAAACAATCGAACAATCAAAGTGATACTACTAATAATGATGGTAATACCAATAACAAGTTTTAAAAAAAAAATAATACTAATGAAAATCATAGTAATACTAATTATAATCATAAAATAGTAATACGACTAATAACAATAGTAATACTACTACCAGTAATAGCACTACTACTACTACTACTACTACTACTACTACTACTACTACTACTACTACGACTACTACGACTACTACGACTACTACGACTACTACTACTACTACTACTACTGCTACTACTACTAGCAAAAATAAGAAGAAACGATGAAGCCTATACGATGCACTGCCGGCTTCACTGCATCTGTTGGAGCATGAGCAAGCTTCGGTTTTGTCTCTCCGCATGTCGTCGCCTGCATGCAAAGCTACACTGTCAATCCAAGACCTCGCCACTTGACTGACCTGAACCATTTAAATACCACATTGGCAGCTTGGCATCCTACCCCTGAACCATCTAATTCTCACACTGGCAGCTTGG